GTACAAGAAAAATCTCCAAAATCTCCTGGTCTATATGCATTAATTTAATTCTTAACCAAAAATGACGCATTTTTGGCATTTTTCGACAAGTTCTTAACCCAGGAAGTTTCAGATGACATTACTTTGGCATTTTTGCACCCGTTTTCATCCTAGAATATATCATTGCCTGTCAAAATTTTGTATGTTACTCTGGGAGCTCGAATTGGGGGAATAATTTTTGTACAACTTTTTTTCTATCCCAACTGTACTGTTAAACATGATGAAGTACCGTACCTACCAGCCACTTTATCGACATCTATTATTATTATTAAGTATAATCATAAAATGGAAATGAGTTACCGACCTTTCTTCCCCTTTTCTCAAAGTGAGCTGAGCTTATATTATAAAGGTACCTGATCAACTGAATCATAGACGCACGTGTTGCGAAAATTAATTCTAAACGAGAAAAATTAATTTTTATTGTAAACTTTTCTGAACTGAAAAGTGGGATGGAAATCTCTTTTGGGAAAATGTGACTTCATTTTTCAAAGAAGTTTGATTTTTTTCGTCAACTTTGGGGTTGAATTTCCCCCCTTCAACCCCGAGATAAACATGTGCTTTTTTGATATTTTACTCGTATCTATCCAAGCAATAATTGGACCAACTTTGAATCTGCTACAAAATTTTTCAAGGAAGTTTGATTTTTTTCGTCAACTTTGGGGTTGAATTTCCCCCCTTCAACCCCGAGATAAACATGTGCTTTTTTGATATTTTACTCGTATCTATCCAAGCAATAATTGGACCAACTTTGAATCTGCTACAAAATTTTTCAAGGAAGTTTGGTTTTTTCGTCAAATTTGGGGTTGAATTTCCCCCCTTCAACCCCGAGATAAACATGTGCTTTTTTGATATTTTACTCGTATCTATCCAAGCAATAATTGGACCAACTTTGAATCTGCTACAAAATTTTTCAAGGAAGTCTGTTTTTTTCGTCAACTTTGGGGTTGAATTTCCCCCCTTCAACCCCAAGATAAACATGTGCTTTTTTGATATTTTACTCGTATCTATCCAAGCAATAATTGGACCAACTTTGAATCTGCTACAAAATTTTTCAAGGAAGTTTGATTTTTTTCGTCAACTTTGGGGTTGAATTGCCCCTCTTCAACCCCGAGATAAACATGTGCTTTTTTGATATTTTACTCGTATCTATCCAAGCAATAATTGGACCAACTTTGAATCTGCTACAAAATTTTTCAAGGAAGTTTGATTTTTTTCGTCAACTTTGGGGTTGTATTTCCCCCCTTCAACCCCGAGATAAACATGTGCTTTTTTGATATTTTACTCGTATCTATCCAAGCAATAATTGGACCAACTTTGAATCTGCTACAAAATTTTTCAAGGAAGTTTGGTTTTTTCGTCAAATTTGGGGTTGAATTTCCCCCCTTCAACCCCGAGATAAACATGTGCTTTTTTGATATTTTACTCGTATCTATCCAAGCAATAATTGGACCAACTTTGAATCTGCTACAAAATTTTTCAAGGAAGTTTGATTTTTTTCGTCAACTTTGGGGTTGAATTGCCCCTCTTCAACCCCGAGATAAACATGTGCTTTTTTGATATTTTACTCGTATCTATCCAAGCAATAATTGGACCAACTTTGAATCTGCTACAAAATTTTTCAAGGAAGTCTGTTTTTTTCGTCAACTTTGGGGTTGAATTTCCCCCCTTCAACCCCAAGATAAACATGTGCTTTTTTGATATTTTACTCGTATCTATCCAAGCAATAATTGGACCAACTTTGAATCTGCTACAAAATTTTTCAAGGAAGTTTGGTTTTTTCGTCAAATTTGGGGTTGAATTTGCCCCCTTCAACCCCCAGATAAACATGTGCTTTTTTGATATTTTACTCGTATCTATCCAAGCAATAATTGGACCAACTTTGAATCTGCTACAAAATTTTTCAAGGAAGTTTGATTTTTTTCGTCAACTTTGGGGTTGAATTTCCCCCCTTCAACCCCGAGATAAACATGTGCTTGTTTGATATTTTACTCGTATCTATCCAAGCAATAATTGGACCAACTTTGAATCTGCTACAAAATTTTTCAAGGAAGTTTGATTTTTTTCGTCAACTTTGGGGTTGAATTGCCCCTCTTCAACCCCGAGATAAACATGCGCTTTTTTGATATTTTACTCGTATCTATCCAAGCAATAATTGGACCAACTTTGAATCTGCTACAAAATTTTTCAAGGAAGTTTGATTTTTTTCGTCAACTTTGGGGTTGAATTGCCCCTCTTCAACCCCGAGATAAACATGCGCTTTTTTGATATTTTACTCGTATCTATCCAAGCAATAATTGGACCAACTTTGAATCTGCTACAAAATTTTTCAAGGAAGTTTGATTTTTTTCGTCAACTTTGGGGTTGTATTTCCCCCCTTCAACCCCGAGATAAACATGTGCTTTTTTGATATTTTACTCGTATCTATCCAAGCAATAATTGGACCAACTTTGAATCTGCTACAAAATTTTTCAAGGAAGTTTGGTTTTTTCGTCAAATTTGGGGTTGAATTTCCCCCCTTCAACCCCGAGATAAACATGTGCTTTTTTGATATTTTACTCGTATCTATCCAAGCAATAATTGGACCAACTTTGAATCTGCTACAAAATTTTTCAAGGAAGTTTGATTTTTTTCGTCAACTTTGGGGTTGAATTGCCCCTCTTCAACCCCGAGATAAACATGTGCTTTTTTGATATTTTACTCGTATCTATCCAAGCAATAATTGGACCAACTTTGAATCTGCTACAAAATTTTTCAAGGAAGTCTGTTTTTTTCGTCAACTTTGGGGTTGAATTTCCCCCCTTCAACCCCAAGATAAACATGTGCTTTTTTGATATTTTACTCGTATCTATCCAAGCAATAATTGGACCAACTTTGAATCTGCTACAAAATTTTTCAAGGAAGTTTGATTTTTTTCGTCAACTTTGGGGTTGAATTGCCCCTCTTCAACCCCGAGATAAACATGTGCTTTTTTGATATTTTACTCGTATCTATCCAAGCAATAATTGGACCAACTTTGAATCTGCTACAAAATTTTTCAAGGAAGTTTGATTTTTTTCGTCAACTTTGGGGTTGTATTTCCCCCCTTCAACCCCGAGATAAACATGTGCTTTTTTGATATTTTACTCGTATCTATCCAAGCAATAATTGGACCAACTTTGAATCTGCTACAAAATTTTTCAAGGAAGTTTGGTTTTTTCGTCAAATTTGGGGTTGAATTTCCCCCCTTCAACCCCGAGATAAACATGTGCTTTTTTGATATTTTACTCGTATCTATCCAAGCAATAATTGGACCAACTTTGAATCTGCTACAAAATTTTTCAAGGAAGTTTGATTTTTTTCGTCAACTTTGGGGTTGAATTGCCCCTCTTCAACCCCGAGATAAACATGTGCTTTTTTGATATTTTACTCGTATCTATCCAAGCAATAATTGGACCAACTTTGAATCTGCTACAAAATTTTTCAAGGAAGTCTGTTTTTTTCGTCAACTTTGGGGTTGAATTTCCCCCCTTCAACCCCAAGATAAACATGTGCTTTTTTGATATTTTACTCGTATCTATCCAAGCAATAATTGGACCAACTTTGAATCTGCTACAAAATTTTTCAAGGAAGTTTGGTTTTTTCGTCAAATTTGGGGTTGAATTTGCCCCCTTCAACCCCCAGATAAACATGTGCTTTTTTGATATTTTACTCGTATCTATCCAAGCAATAATTGGACCAACTTTGAATCTGCTACAAAATTTTTCAAGGAAGTTTGATTTTTTTCGTCAACTTTGGGGTTGAATTTCCCCCCTTCAACCCCGAGATAAACATGTGCTTTTTTGATATTTTACTCGTATCTATCCAAGCAATAATTGGACCAACTTTGAATCTGCTACAAAATTTTTCAAGGAAGTCTGTTTTTTTCGTCAACTTTGGGGTTGAATTTCCCCCCTTCAACCCCAAGATAAACATGTGCTTTTTTGATATTTTACTCGTATCTATCCAAGCAATAATTGGACCAACTTTGAATCTGCTACAAAATTTTTCAAGGAAGTTTGATTTTTTTCGTCAATTTTGGGGTTGAATTTCCCCCCTTCAACCCCGAGATAAACATGTGATTTTTTGATATTTCACTCGTATCTGTTCAAGCAATAATTCGACCAACTTTGAAACTGCTACAAAATTTTTCAAGGAAGTTTGTTTTTTTCCGTCAATTTTGGGGTTGAATTTCCCCCCTTCAACCCCGAGATAAACATTTGCTTTTTTGATATGTCCCTCGTATCTGTTCAAGAAATATTTCCACCAACTTTGGTGGTGCTACAAAATTTTCGATATCTGATTTCATTTACATTTTTGGGGCGGAATCTACCCCCTTCAACCCCTCCCTGGACATATGATTTTTCAGTATGTGACGTACATCACCCTCAGTATTATTTCCACCAAGTTTGATGATGTTACAGAATCTTTTAGAATAGATTTTTTGATTCATTATATTTGAGGCACTACTTATTTGGTCGACTGTAAAAACATGATTTTCATTTCTGAATCTGTTGCTAACTTCAACGACGTGAAGCATACCTACTTTGTTTGAAATGTCTCTTTCAATTCATGAGATCCGCACGTTCGTATCTTTCATAGTTCTTCAGTCAGTTGCAAGAAAGAAATAACCTACCCTGAAACACAAGGCAAAGGGTAACAGAGTTGATTTTGTTTGCTCCCCTGGAAACCAATCATTCAAAAACTTGAAAGTTCTTGAGAAAGTAGCGAAAGTACTTAACTACTTAGGAGCCTTAAATTATTTATTTTTTCGAATTAAATCTATTATTGTTCAGTTTATGCAAACTGCTGCACAAACACCAGAAGACATTCTCGCGCGGTTTTATTTTTTCCACCTATTAAGTATCAACCAAAACAACTCGCTACTGAAAATGACGAGACCTATCGATCATAATTTTTCCATCTTTGAAGACAAAAACAAAATTGTTGAACTAGATTTTGAATTAATTAATAAGTCAGTCAACAAACTATAAAAATACCAAGAATTGATTTTGGATCATCAGTAGTACCATAACCGAGTTATAGTCAAAGTTGAAAAATGAGTAAAATTGTGCCAGTAAGTACCAATCTATCTATAGTCCGTTCATAAAGTCTATAGACTTTTTCGAGTGTGTTTACTCAGATTTTGGACGCTGCTTGGCTAAATTTTGGGGCCCCACTAGGGCCTTGGGTTAATCGTTTAAATTGAACGTTGGTCGCTCAAGTCTGCCCCCTAATTTTGGTCAATCAGAGTCCAAAATCTCACATCACGCACTCGAAAACCTCTATAGACTTTATGAACGCACTTTAGACTACAATTTTTTTTTTCATTTGACAAAAATTACTTCCAGATTCTTTTTGTGGCCATGGTCGTGGCAATTGTCTTTGTCAGTGCTAATCCAGTGCCAGAAGCAGCTCCAGAGCCACATTTTGGTCTTTTTGGGCTTGGAGGCTACGGAGGTTACGGCCGTAAGTAGTTTAGTTTTTCATTGATGTTCAAAAATAAGTGAAAATCTGGATTTTTTTTTTCTAGGTTTTGGTGGATTTAGAAGATATGGCGGTTACGGATACGGTGGTGGATATTATCCATACGGCGGATATGGAGGATATGGATACTTTTAAGTGTCATCACTAGTCATCAGTAATCATGAAGCAATGTATTGATCTAATTTCTGATTTCATATGTAATATAATAAATATTTGTTGAAATGTAGTGTGTTTCTCTTATGCTTCTATAGCGTCTCAGATTTTAGACTTTAATTATTCTGGTGCCAAAGTTTCGGATACTCACTCGTGTGCAATAGAGTATAATGGGTGCTTACAGCATTGTAGAGTAGAGTAAATTGTATATTAAAAATTGAAAAAGTTACTAAATTTTTACTGGTAGGCATTCAATGCGTTAATCATTAAAGTTCCTTCATAAAAACAAATAGCATTGTTTGGTTGATTGAGCAACAACAAAACTACACTTTATTGATATCGACTATACCTACCTGCAATTTTCAGCCAGTTGGAGATATGATTCTGCATTGGTTATTCAATAATTCATCCACAAGTTTTTTTTTTGAAATTAAATGCTAATTTTGTCTAAGTTCAAATCAAGTGAGTACCGCCATCTATTGATTAACCCGCGGACGACCGCTTTACTAGGTACTCTCTTTTATTTTCAACAAATAGGTATCTTTATTAGAACAATTGAGTTTATCAGAAGATGATTGAACGAAGCATTATACATTTGAACTTTAAAATTATTAATAGTTTTGGCCTATTTGGCAATAATTAATTGATTCACGATTCATGTTGTTCTGATGATATTAACAAATCTTTTGAAGTATGAGCCTGTTTAGTGTTAATCTGAAAACTAAATACTAATTGTTTTATGAACTACCATATTGCCAGGGCTCTTATTGTGTCATGTATTTCTTTAAATACGTCTTCTACTCGATCCTGTGGAATAACCAGCTGGCTCTTAGTAGATTTCTCATCGGCACTTTCTCAAACTCTTTTCAGTAAACCATTTTCTATGGCCAGAGCCCCATGAGCCAACAATGCCTTGTAAATCAAACTCTTGTTCGACACTTTCCTCCATTCTGGCCTACATTCATCATTTTTTTTAAGAAGTAGGAATTGCTCGATGTCACTGGTCTGCTTCTTGATCTGTTCTCATTTGTTCAGTAGTCAATTTATCATCAACGATAAGACCCGTTCTTCTCACAGCTGGACCAGTGTTTTCCTCATGCATATCGATTCTTTGACAATGTTTGCAATCTCTTTTACATGGCCGTATAGACAGAGCTTCAGTATTTTTTGAAGGTTTCCAGGTCGATGTTTAATTTGGAAATCGTATTGCTGCAATTTCTCTATCTAGCAAGCTGTCCTTCGGGAATTTTCATTTCTAAAAGCCATTTTAGAGCTGCATGATCCATTCGAATCTGAAACTTACGTCCGTAGAGATACTTATGGAAATGGTCGACTGCTTTCACTATGGCAAGCAACTCTTTTCTGGTGACACAATTATTTCGTTCTGGTTTTGATAAGGTTCTGCTGTAGTACTCCACGACATGCTCATGTCAATTTTAAATTTGTGGAAAGACAGCTCCAACACTGGTGTTGCTTGCATCTGTGTCCAAAATCAACATGCCTTTCTGATCGGGATAGAACAACACTGGGCTTGTACATAATGCTCCTTTCAATTTTCTAAAAGCAGAATCGCATTCTTGGGTCCAATTGAATGTTGAGTTTTATTCCATTAATCGATAAAGTGGAGCAGCTATATGAGCGAATCCTTCTACAAATCTTCGATAATAAGAACATAATCCTAGAAAACTCCTCAGTTCATGTTTCCATGTTTGTTGCGTGGTTTTGGCCAATCTCTGACAGCATCTATCGTTCCTTCCCTGTATGCCATCTTTAGATAAAACGTGACCTAAGAATTCCACTTTCTTTTGAAATAGAAAACACTTATTTGGATTGAGTTTCAAGTTGGCATTCCGGAAGCGGTCAAAAACTTCTTGAGATGTTCTTGGAACGAATTTCCCATGATCATGATATCATCTTAATATACCAGTTGTCCATGTAAGGCCTGAGAAAACTACATACATCAGTCGCTCAAACGTAGCTGGAGCATTACACAATCCAAAAGGCATTACGTTAAATTGGTATAACCCGCTTTCGGTACTGAAGGCAGTTTTCTCCTTGGAGCCCGATAGAGTTGTTTATGTATCGTCTATTCTGGGAAGAAAGAAACTGTTTTTGTTGGTGACCTCATTAAGCTTACGATAGTCCATACAAAGTCTAAGACCTTTCTTTGTAACCTTTGTTGGCGTGAACCATGGACTATTTGACTTTTCAATAATTCCCTCTTAAAGCATTTTATCAATCTGGAATCTGGTTTTCCACTTCCTGTTGTTTAGCTACTGGGATACGTCGGGGTGGTTGTCTAATTTGGTGTGCCAATCCATTATCAATTTTGTGTTGAATTAAACTGGTCCGTCCGGTTTGATTATCCATCACAACTTTTCTGCTTCTTTCGAGATGAAATCTTTGGATTTTTGAATTCTATCTGGGTCAAGGTGTTTCCATGATTTCTCCAAAATCTGCATCAAAGTATCTGTATCCAATTTCGGTTTCACAAAATGTCGCTTATAGATCACAGTTCGATATTTGCTTGACTGGTTCGAAAGTTCCAATAATATCTGCTTCCTTTATTTTCACTGTTTCAGAAGAAACATTGGCAATTCTTATCATAATGTCTACATTTGTTCTCCATCAGTCTTTTCAACGAGAAATTTTTTCTGGTTCATCTCCAATAAAATTATGTAGTAGTCCAACGCAGCTCCAAGGTATGTTTTTAATTTTCCGCATATGATTTTCTTAGTACTTCCAGGAATCCTCACCGGGTTTGTCACCCAGGATCAACGGCTTGAGATTCTTCCTGTAGTAAGGACAGATTCTTTATTACCAAATTACGGATGTATATAGAAGGATCGGAAAGAAAACCATGTTGGCCGATCAAATCTAGAAATTTTGGGATCGTTTATTCCAAAAATCAAAGTCTTAATTAACATAAAAATAATTTATTCCACGTTACTACACACTCTGACACTAACCCACATAACAGTGAAAGAACATTCATATTCTCAGAATATTCCCTTAAAGTGCTTTTTGGAATGTTCTTTTAGGAATTTTTAATGAATATTCTAAGATTGTTTCGATTGAAATATTCATTTTTGAACGTTCTATCAAAGAATATTATAGATATATTGTCATACGAACATTATTATAATGTAGGTACCCTAAAAAATGTTCTTTCGGCTAATATCTCTATCAAGTATTAGGAATATACCTACCAAGTTTATGTAGGTAGGTAACCATGATAAGAATATTTTCATATTGTTCACCTAATTATCTGAAGTACCTACTCAAAAATCATAATTTAACAATTAAACAATAATGCTCTATCTAGAACCTACTAAGAATATTATAGGTATATTCTTTTCCTTTTGCTTTGTAGGACTTCCAAGAGAGGGAGCCACGCGCTATTAAAGATCTACATCTTACCTCGCGTTTGAATCACCTTGGAACCTGTTTCTCTCAGTTGGCGTGCTTCGACGAGAGCATAACAAGCTCGAAACCGGAGCTTTGGTTAAATACTTGTGTTTTCCAACAACTCTTTCACTGCCTTTAATAAAAAAGGGCTGAAAGGAGCATTATTTGGAAGCGAAAATTAACATTCCAAGTATATCCTTAGAATCAACCAAGAATGTTATGTCTAGGATGCATATTGAGAATGATAAATGTAGATATATTCTAAGAATATTTCAAGCATATTGGTATAATATTCTTTTAAGAACGTAACTATAATGTCATAGAAATATTCTTTGAATGTGAGAATACCTATACATATCGAGCATATTTTTAGAATCAAACAGGAATATTCTTTTCAGGATGTACTGAGAATCTCATAGGAATATTCTAGGAATATCCTAATGGATTTCTCAGGAAGTTCTTGGGTATTGCAAACAGTATTTCTACAATCTTTTCTCAGAACATTCTCAGGACATTCGCAATGGTTTTGGCGAACATTCTAGGCACATTCCTCCTAAAAAAAGAACATTCTTAATACATTCTAAGGATGCAATTTTGTTATGTGGGAATTATGTCACTAATTAACTCAAACAACTCAACTCTTAATAATAATCACAATCTTAAACTTAAAACTACTAACTTATACCGGGCTTTATATATCTGTAATCCATTCTTGTAAATTCCAGAATAAACGCGATAATCTTCTTTGCCCAAATAAGGCAGTATTTTCTATATTTCAAGTTAGATTCTGTACGCCATGGTGAAAGCGCATCGCTGCAATAGTTACCGGTAAGCTTATCGGAAGATGATTGAACGAAGCATTAATCAGAGATTTGATTTCTGAAATTATTAATAAGTTTGGCCTTTATGGCAATTAATAATTGATTCACGTTGTTCCTGGATGATATCGACAAATCTTCTAAAATTTGATTTTGTTTAGGTTAATCTGAAAACTGAATCCTAATTGTCTTATTAACTCCATACATAAAATCACAAACTGCCCAGTTAACTAATTGGTTGTTAAGTTTTAACACAGAGTTTTTAACAGAGTGTTAGAAGAGTTCCAAATATCAATATACAAGTTAAACAGCTGTTAGATATTTAACCAACCATTAACAAGTAAATTGCTGTTCATAAATACGTTAGTTAATCTCATTTTAAATTGATTGAGATTTGAAGCTAGTAGGTACGGGTTGTTTTTTTGCGGTTGGTGATTAACTAACCTGATATATAAACATTGATTGGACTTTAGAACTTTAGTATAAATCTACGTCTTTCAAGGCTCGGTTTTTTCATATTCAGAACCACTCGCTGAAAACTGTCTACAAGATAAAGTTACCAATCTATAATCCTATTGATCCTATCCTATCAGAAAGTGAATAAATAGGGCCTCCGAGATTGCTCACGTGGAAATGGGAAAGTTGCATTATGATTTTCAGTCATGAAAAAACTGCAAACTGATAAACAAGCATGAAAAACTTTAAGCCTCATCTAGTATCGAAAGCACAAAATAAAATCTTAAAAGCAGATTAAATTGTTAGTAAAATTGTCTATAATGGAACCATTAGTAGGTATAGTGAAAGTGCCATCTAAGCAAGGGAACAGTTTGATTCCGAGGTTTGTCGACCTTTTTAGTACCACATAATGAAAAACAAAAAACACAGTAAACCAGTTTTGTTATAGGGTTCACCTGCGCTTATTAAGACAGGTAAAACGAATATACCGTGTTGTCACATTTCTTGACATATCCTAGAAATAGTAGGATTTTTTAAATCTACATGTCAACAAAAGTTACAAAACTTTAAAAAGTAATTTTGGCGCTCGGTAGTATAATGGCCGTTTCATATAAGAAACGATATAACAATAACATATAGCATAGGTAACATAAGACATACTTTTTTCATGTGTTAATTTTGGAATGTTTTGTTATGATTTGTAAGTTGGAATGTACTTTATTTGGCACTTCCTTATTAACTAATTTCATCATCCCCTTTTGCCTGTACCTTGTGTGAAAAGTGAAATTATAATGTATCCGGTATAAATAATTTTGTCAATACATATTTCATTGTCACTCTGTTAAAAAGTCATAGTCGGAAGGTAAGCATAGCATCATGAGCAAATTTTCTTTAGGTAGGTACAAACATTAAAAGGTCTTCCCCCATAGTATATGGTCAACTTTTTATCTTTCTTATGTTGTTGTTACGTAAGCGGGTTCGCAGATGAGTGAGACTACTCTTCCATAATTGATTTACATCTATTGGATACTATAACACAAAAATCACAACAAAACTAGCTCAATTACAGCACTTCTCATAACTATAATCAAGCCTAACTAGCTACAAAACTAATTTGTCCGGATTGTCGTTAGATGACCGACTCCCTTTTATAGCTCGTCGCTGCTTCTAGAATTGTCTAGATAATTCGCTAAACTATTGTGCTGTTTCATTCCATTGAAAAATTCAGGAAGTATTGCAATGAGATTGTGCCCAATTTCCTCAACTAGAGAGATTTATAACATTTATGTTATACGTGTCAGTATAAATCCACATTTACCTATATAATGGCTTAAAACGGGTTTCCAGTAAAAAATAAAATTGTTTTACAAAAATCAGAGTGTGTAATATCGCAATACCACCCACTTTATACTCTTTGATTGATGCCAAGTTTAGATTTTTTTCTCAAAAATCCAGGATTCCTGCCGCAGTCATTCCGGCAACACCGGCCAAATATCCTGCAAAATCGATTCTGCCGCTGCTGCGTGCAATCCACCACACTGTTTTTGGTGTTTCAGTGTTTTTTTTTTCTCTCAACATTTGTGTAGGTACCGAAAAAAAAATGTGATAAGATAAGGGACACAATTTACTTTGTCGCGTTTTGGTTGCTCCGCAGTCGTCAGAACATTGCGTACGCGTTAACAAATAATATAATGTAAAAATATTATATATATTTTTTTAGTGCGCGATTTAGTGGTTCCAATTTACAAAAAGTACCAGGAATTAGTTTTTTGAAAAAAAAAAAAAAATTGCCAAAAGTTCAACATGACAAGTGTGGAACTTTATACTAAAGTAAGTGAATATAGGTCGGAAAGGGCTTTTATCGATTTGTTTATTAATGAATTAGGTTTTTTTTTTGGGTCAAAAGGGCCTGCTATAAGCTCAAGGATGTTTTAATCATTTATAGTCATATAGCAACTTTTGCTTTTGAAAATATAGATCCTGCTTGCTTAATTTGATTTACCCCTTTAAGCCTTCGAGAAGGACGTTTTCAATTTAAGCTCTTTAAAAACTTCTTTTTAAAACTGGTTTAATTTAAATGTTTGCTTTCCATATATTTGTTCCTTGTTACATGATTTATGAGAAAAGCTTTAGATATTTTTCCGGAAAATGTTTCATTCATTGTGCAAAGGGAAAGGTTATTATTCTGCTTCTCACACATTGAATTCCCATACAGTTTTGTTGAGCGATGATTATCTTTGTTCTTTTAGCATTTCAGATAGACTTTCTATTCTTAACTTTTTGCGAACAAATGTAACAATTCATTTTCTAGATTTTAAACGTGAAATACAGACTAAAACATCACAGCTTGATTATATAAAATACATATTAATTATTATTTCCTAATAGTCTGGTCTAGGATTTACGTATAATACCTTCTGTTTTTAAATATTTTTTCATTAACCTTTGAAATAAATATTTTGTGGTATGAATTAATTCATTATTGGTTTAAACTTTAACCAAGGTAGGAAAATTGTATTTAACAACCTATAGGTAATTAACTAGGCTATTAGACAATGTTGTGCTAATTCAATGAGTAATTTTGTTTATTTTTGTTGAAATGGTAATAATACGTGATGTGAAATGAATGTTTTACATAATTAAACTAAAAGGGGTTTAGGAGTTTTTTTAGTTTTACAGATATTAAGCTCCACTGTCATTTAATTCGTTTTACTTTCATATCTTCGCAAATTAAGTTGAACTTTATGTCCTGAACGTGCTATAACTGATTTCCGTTATTTGAATGTAATGGAACATTTGAATTTTCCAAATAAGTATCTATTATTCACAACTCAATTTTAAACATACACAAAACAAGGGTGTTTCTTTAACAATTTAATATTCTATAATTTTTCAATTATATAATCTAGGTATTGCATTTTGATACTTCAATTAAGCGCTTCGTCGAGCAGAAAACAAGGCAGTGGTATGATGGTTCATTTACTTTTGCATATGTAATTACAAAGCAGTACTTTTTGGTCAATAAAAAAAAATGAATTTGTAGTTTTCTAGCTATAAATGTCATTAGGTGAATCGAAGCTTCCATGATTAGGTATCTCAAACAAACAATAATTAATTGGAATGATTCATTATTTCCAAAGATAACATTACTTATTTATAAATTCCTGAGATAATTTTCCTTATTAAATTCTATTCCTTTTCTCAAATGTATCATAAAAGAGCTTTTTTTTCATAATACATAATTACTTTGTTACACAACTCACGTTTCTGGTACTACTTACTTAAAACAGTTATAGAATTTAAAAGGTCACTGGATGCGGGCTTTTACATGGTACTTTTAACTAATTTTGGTACTTTTATTATTCAGTTTACGTACTCTTATATGGTTTTATTTTATTTTTGGTTGGTGTGTGAAAATATTTGCCAGACACCTTTGTGACTCATTAAATTGCAAATAATTCGATTGTTTAAAATGTTTGTTTAAAATTACGTGAATGCAAAAATAAATAATTAATAATCTCGATTACCGTGACCTTGCTACATATAAAAAACGATATGTATAATATAATATGGTTGCAATGTATATGTAGGTAGGTGGGTTGTGATGTTATTGAATTTCTATAAATTAATATTTGTAATTTGATATTCCAATAAAGCAATACCTTTTGTTTATACAGGGTGGGAAAAAGAATAATCAAAATATACCTATATCGGGTTTTAGTTGATCGAAATTATTTCACAAACCAAATTCCTACCGCAGTGATCATCTTGTCTTAGGGCTTCTCGTTGTTCCGAATTGAGACCATCTACAACAGGTCCGGTAAAAGAAATCAAAAGGCCTTCAAAAAGAAATTGAATTCTTGATCGAAATTTTGTCCATCAAATCAGGAAGACCTTTAAGGCAAATTCTACACAGAAGAATTGCCATTCTGTCGGTGCTACGGTTGTAATAAAGTTAAGTCTTTGTTGGGTATCATCAGAAAGTCCATCTTGCTAAGAATTGATTAACAGGACGCTGTTAAACATGTCTAGGAAGAATTGCAAAGAGAACTGTTACAAGAAGTGAACTTGATTGAGAGAGTCCATGCGGTGAAGTAAGTGTTACTGCAAGCTTGTGATAGAAGCAGATATTGTTGGAACACAGTTTTAATCTCGGAAATTACCTTGTCAGTTTCCTCAACCTTTTGTCCAATTTCCGCAGCCTCTTTTTCTAAAGCCTCTAAAGTCGTAATAACACTGTCGTCATCCAAAATCTTTCTCTTATTCTAAAGCTAAACTTCCCTATTTGAAAAAAAAAAACAAAAACTTATTACAAATTTTGAATTCCTAACATATCTCGCATATTAACAATAACTTATTGATTTGACAAAGGGTTTGTAAAAGTATCAGCACATTGAATATTACTTGGAACATAAATTACATTGATCATACCTTTCTTGTATAAATCTCGTATATAATTATAATTCACATCGATATGCTTATAGCACTCTGTCAATTTTGAGATTGAATTTTTCACAAGGTATTCCTGGTTCAGTTAACATACGTAACAACCATATACCTTCTTTTGTAGCACAGTCAGCACAAACAAATTCTCCTTCGATGGTGGAAAAAGCAACACACTGTTGTTTCCTGGCTTTCTAAATGACTGCTGCACTTCCAAATTTGCAGAGGTTGTTTTCCTGGTCTGAACAGCACCTGCATAGTCTGCGTCACTGTAGACTTCAAATTCACCACTGGATTGATAGAATAGACCCAATGTTCTCGTACCTTGCAGATAGCGAAAAATTCGCTTTACTAATGACCAATGTGCTAGTGTGGGTTTGTCCAAGTTTCTCACTACTATATTCACTGTGAATGATATATCTGGACTGGTATTTGCAGATACATGAGATTTCCCACAGCTTCTCTGTACGGTTCATCTTCTACACATTTACTTGACTCATTATCTTTGCACCAACCAACGTCAATTGGCGTTGACACCGATTTACTGTCTTGTACTTAGAGCAGGTAATTTTCTAGGTGGAAGGAGTAGGAACATGAAGTTGGAACCGTTTTTTCCAGGTATTTTGAGATCCAAAATAATGGCGGTATAGCTAATTCAATGCTTTACCTGTAATTTGGTGTACAAACACCTGCTAAAAACTGGCTTCACTTTCATAGGCTGTTCATTTGTACTTGCTACCTGCTCGAAAAATCAGGAACATCTGCTAGGAGCTGCCATTTTATGAGCTTAGATATGGGAGTTATGGGACAAGTGAACGCCGATCAGCTGCTGAGATCTGCTTGAAGCAAGAAAAGCAGTACAAATGAACAGCGTATTAGTTTCATAGCAGAATGGCGCGTTCCTACTCCTTATGTCCGTAGGATAGCGCTTTACCTGCTCCAAGGTCTTGCATAATATGCGGTTCAATATTATTGAACCGCTTCAATATTTCATTGACATAAAGCACTTTGATTCAAGAAGACAGATCCGTCACTTTGAAAATAAATGTCGACTCTCAAAAACGACTTTACATTTTTTGTTGTAGTTGCTTCAAACTTTTGGGTCACCTGCATCAGGAAATTTTCAGCATCAGCTTCATGGGTTGTAAGCACTAGTCCATCATCAACATAGATGACAACAAAGATTTTATTTGACCCTTTTACACATACAAACAAGCATGGATCCACTTTGCTTTCTTTTAATCCAAACGTTGATAAGAAATCTATGAAACATTAATTCCAACACCGAGGGGCCTGCTCGAGTCCATACAGGCTTTTTTCCAGTTTGCACACACGTGAAGTGTCGTCGTCATATCTTTCTGGTTGCTTCCAATATATATCTATGCCATTTTCTAAATAACCATAAAGAAGACTTTATGTCAAACTGACGAAAATGAAGATGTTCACGGGCTGCAACACTTAACAAAACACGAACTGTTTCATAGCGCGCTACTGGACCAAAAGTCTCAGTATAGTCAACACCTTCTTTCTGCAGAAAATCTCGCACGACTAGCCGCGCTTTGTAACGGTAATTAGATTCATCTTTATTCGGTTTCAACTTATAGACCCATTTATTGCTTATAACCTTTGAATCTTTTGGCTTTTCCACCAATCTTCATGTTTGATTTTCATGCAGTGAATACATTTCTTCTTGCATTACTACTTTCCAATTTTCTACTTTTTCTGATCTTAAGGCTTCTTGAAGACTTTTACATACGTACATACATACTGGTTACATTTGCTGAATTACTTGCAAGTTAATCTGATACAATAAGTTGCTTAATCAGACCCAGTAGCTATTATCTTTCCATCCTTCTCGAAAACAAAAAATCAGACCCATTATTCATAATTGCGAAATTAATGCCCTTTTTGGATTTTTGGATCTTTGCACAGAAAAAAGGTTGCACATTATCTCTGGTGTGTACAACACATCATTCATGATACCAGGTAGCAAGGGCGTACCCAGGATCCAAACTAGGGGGGGAGGGGAACTAATAAAAGAAGCAAACCTGATTTTTCTTTCATTTTTATTATTCATTATTAAACACATTTACTTATAAGTAGCAAAATTTTTAATTTCTTAATACTAAACAGGGTGATTCAAATTCGATGCTCGCAATAGTCCATTGGGGTCTCGGAAACGGTAAGAGATACGAGGTCGGTTAAATGAAGGCAAAGTTGCGTAATTTTTTTCTCAACAGAATGTCCCTTCGAAATTCGCAACATTCCGAAGACTTCCGGAGATATAAGGACAAGACCGAAATGTTGCAAAATCGTTTTTATTCTTTCTTCGCCTTATTTGAACAGATATTTCAAAAAACTTTGTGTAGCAACTCTTTCCCCTCTACACCATATGATTGGCTAAATTCGAAATGCGACATTTCGTCTTTGGCCGACCATCATCAACTTTATTTTTTTTTAAATAAGGAGCTGTGTATTACTTATTTTATTTTTTGGAGCCCACTAACTTATCATAGGTACCCATCGATGAATTATAATTTTCCAGAAAAATATCGCATCACATGAAATATCTGTTCAAATAACCCCATCAGGAAAAAATAAAAACGATTCTGCAACATTTCGGTTTTTTCCCTATCTCTTCGGAAGGTTTCGAATTTCGAGGCGATATTTTGCTGACCAAGAAATTGCGCAACTTTACTCTGCCATCATTTAGGTCGGCCTCGTATATCTCACCGTTTTCGAGTTCCCAATGGAGAGCATCGAATATTTTCAAATCACCCTGTATTGTATATAATATTTTCCCCTACTTCCTACTTTAGGTGTGTGATTTTATAGTTTATGATAAAATTCTAGCGTCTTTGTCTTCAACAAGTGCTTCTATGGCTACCGTTCCTTTTCCCACTACATTGATCACTTCCCCATTTCCAACTTTGATCACTGTTGGTTAATTGAAGACCATAAACTCTTGAAATTCACTTCGTTCGTTGGTCATATGATCTGATGCGCCCGATTATATATATAATCCACTTGCCACGAAACTCAGGGAAAATCGATTTGTAGCTCACAAATGCAGTTGGCCTGGCAGGGTCCATTTTCATCGTTCATCTTTGGATAGAATTTTGCAGTATGTCTCTTTGAACCACACTTAAAACAACCTGGGACAATTCCTTCGCCAATGATTTTGTTTCCCGTACAAGTATGACAAGCAGCTACTTTCTTTGACGAGCCCTGTTTAGATTTTTCACCAACTTTGCACTTTGAAAATAACGCCATTGTCTCATCTACTCCGTCAGCCTATGAAAGCCTTTGCTCCTGCGTTAATAACCGTGTTTTTAGGTTCTCCAAAGCACGAAGAGTTGCATTAGTCGAGTCGCAAACATTATGAAAATGTTGGTACTCTTTGGGAAGAAAAGACAAAATTCTGATAAGTAGCATGGAATCTGCTATATAGTACCTCCTAGATTTTTCATACAGTTCCTCATCTGCTCCAATTTTGCAATGTGTTCTGCAACTGACACAGATGTATTCCACTTGAAATTGAAAAACTACTTCGGCACCAAAGACAAGGATACTTCTGACTTCAGATCATATACTGAATGTAGTTTTTCCCACATTTCAGCTGCACTTTCACAACTCATCAAAAACTGTAGTGGTTCAGCTTCAACTGTGGCTCAGTTCCAACTGTGTTTACAAATAACTTTTTACCAACCCTATCTAATAACCTTCTCACACACTTCCAGCGCATCATTTTTGAAGTCCAACAGAGTCCGAATGACAAACTGCCATTATTGCATCTCGAAGTTTTTCCGCCTGGACCTTTTCGGTATCCAGAGTTACCAGTTATTTTGTTTTAAGTCTTTAAAATAAATTACACACCGCGCGAACCGCGAACTCACGAAAAAAAAAACAATTAAAGCACAACTAAACCCTAAGAACAACATAGCCTGGGCCCATAACCTCTTGGTGTTTTGTTTTCTTTAGCAAAAAACGCATAAGGAAAACTGAAAGATTTATTCAAGACTGAAAGGAAAACAACATAGGCAACATATAGCCTCAAAAAACACAGCTGTTTACCTCAATCTAAAAAAATAAATTGGCATGTTCGATAACAATAAACAATGGATATCGTATAAGTTTAGCTTTCATATTGAAAAAAACAAAATAATCATAACACTTTCCTTTTGTATAATTGCGCGCCTGTAACAAAGATTTCCAACTGCCTAAACCTCCAAATGGAATTCACCTTGTAATTTAAGCAAATCTGAGCGTAGTGTCAATTTCAGGCCTTTCGGCTTTTAGTATCTGATTCAAGCACTGATTCTGCAATGAGCTTCTTGTAACTGTGAAGTTAACAAAAGTAACCCTAGATAAATATTTGGAGAAAATTCTACTGTAGGGTGTAGGGTCACATGAATAGAGGAATATAATAAAGGATGGTAACAAATCAATGTCTTGGTTTTCTCGAGTTATCAAACACGATCTCAACGACTCCACAGTTCTCTGTTCAATACAGGAGTTAATATGGTATCGTAATTTCCAACATCTTGGACTAAAAGCAGGTTACCAAACCAAATACCAGATTCCAAATTTTTCCTGAACAAATCATCTAGGAAGCTAGCTAGCTAGCTAAACTCAGTGGCCTGGCCTGATGGATCAATAATAAGCGGATATCTATCGAATATTTTCAGCATGATAGCATTCTCGGTGCACAAATCGTCTGAAGGTAGAGCGTTGTTTTGCCATCTAAGCCTTTCGTCTGGATTAGACAGATATTCAATTCTAGCAAAATTAGTCCAGTATTGTATGGCGGCTTGGGTCAAGTGCTGGCACTAGGTTGTGAACAAATTCTGACGTGAATGCGGATCAAAGTAACGTAAGCTATAAATGCTGCAGATAAGAGGACATCGCCTACAATAGTTGACATTTGGACTCTGAATGTTTTACTAGTGGCTTCCCAACGTTCTCGTTCGATAACCAAAGATTTTAAGATTGCAATTGATCTGTCACCTTTAACTTGCAAATTTTGAAAGTCAGTTTTAATAGCTTGCGCTTGAGCGATCAATTGCGCATAGTCTTCTTTTTAAGAAGCTATACTTTGTTCTAGTTGACTGATGAGGTTTTTGACTTCTTCACCTCGTAACTTGTAGGTTTCAACTTGAGTTTCCAAGGAATCTAATTCTTGACCTAAGGGTTCTACTTTTTTCAACATATCAGTATCAGCGATTGAGCCATTGCCCATTTTAGTAGAGGACCGCAAGCGTTATTCGTGTGATTGACTTTTTCAAAGTTGCAGTTAGGATTGCCGAGGTATTTGGCTTCTATTTTATCTATCTATGATAATTCTAAGCTACGTATTATTTATTTATTTTCTTTCGTTGACGCACTAAAATGTCATCAAAATAGTATACAGGACCCTCAATGTCTGATAGAAGTTGCTGAAGTGTCCATTGTTTATGACATTATGCATACATTAGGATTAGGTAAATCAACATCATCGAGAAGATCATAACGATCTAGATATTGGAGGTGGAATCAATATTACTGAATAAATATCTGAATGTCTGAACCATTGCAAAATGTAAAATTTCAACAAAAAAAGGCATTGTGTCTTGTGGGAAACAGACATACTGGTCTAATGTCGATCTTTTACAAGTTCTTAACAAACATCAAACCTGATGCCAAGAAACTTGACTACCAATTACTATCAACCCTAGTAATTGCTTGCAAAAAATTGAAAGAATCCAAGATTATCTTTAATGAATCCATCAAGTTTGTTGGAGAATATTTTATTTATTTATTTCACACTACAGAGGTATACAATGGGTATATAAATATTCAATGTGAAGTACAATACATCTTTTTTTTTTTTCTTCAAAAAGCACCTAAGTGATTTAACACTTGTGTTGTGCTGAGATTATAAACTAGATTACAAATTTATTATACCTAAGAATGGTTAATTTATAGTTACAATTACAATACAGTGAAGTGTACATAATATACATAATGTGCAATATACCTAAAAGAAAACAGAAAGTCAGTAGCTTAGGTTGGTTGGTACTACTACTACTACTTAATTCAAAATTTTATCAAATGCTATCAAATTATGAAAAATATATTTTTTCGATTCCCTTGCAAATAATTTATATTTCTGGATTTTTCTGATCTCCATTGGCAATATATTGAAAGCTTTAGGGACAGTATAAATGAAGAATCTATGGGAAATACCTTTATTAAATCTACGAGTTGACAATAACTCATTCGATGTACTACGAGTCTGATACACAGAGTTACATTGAATTTGAGTAGGGAAATTTTTGAATGCATGGATACATATTTTATGAAAGTATAAGGTGCGAATATTACATACCTCCTCTGTATAGAGCAGACTAGTAGTATATCTTCTTTGTTTTCTATAAATTATCTTCAATATGTAGTTTTGAATTACATTCAGTTTTTGCAGTGCGTTACCATACATTCCTCCCCAAACCAAAATGCCATAACAAAACAGTGATTCAGCAAGAGATTTGTAAATTAATAAAAGTAAACTCCCTGAAAGAAAATCACGCATCTGATAAAATTTGTAGATAAGCTTTCTCACTCTTTTTGTAAGGTAGTTCACATGACTCGTCCATTTCAAATTCCTATCTAAAATTATGCCCAAGTACTTAATCTCACTCACCTCCTCGATATGCTCATCCATGCCCTGAACACTGATACTATTATACTCTGGCTTGTTAGCATCTGATAGAGTATAGGCAAGATAGTGTGTTTTATCAACGTTTAGCGACAAATAGTTGAAGTTTAGCCAATTTTTAATTTTTTCCATGCCCATTTGCACAGCCAACTTGGTTTCCTCCCATGTTGCACCCTTAAATGTTACCACTGTATCGTCTGCGTATGCAACAATTTTTACGTCAGTAATAACAGATAACAATGAATTGATATAAAGCAAAAAGAGTATGGGTCCAAGGACTGTTCCCTGGGGAACGCCTATTTTAATATTTTCTGGATTACTAAGTGCATCACCGATCCTGACATACTGCATTCTATCTGTCAAATAGCTCCGAAAGACATCCAACACCAAGCCACGTATCCCAGAGCGCTCTAGAGTACTAATAAGTCTAGCGTGGTTAACAGTATCGAACGCCTTCGCCAAATCAAGGAAAACAGAGATGCATTTCTTGTTTGTGTCTAAACATTCCAGTACTTCTAATAAAACAGAATACATGGCATCACTTGTAGATTTGCCATCGCGAAAGCCAAATTGGCACTCGTGCAAAATATTGTACCTATTCAAAAATGATACCAGACGGACTTTTAGGCACTTCTCAAAAATTTTTCCAAAATTGCTCATCACACTTATTGGCCTATAGTTACTAATCTTTTTTTTATCACCAGCCTTATGAATAGGGGTTACGATAGAAGTTTTAAACTGTGTTGGAACAATTCCTTTAGTAAAAATTAGATTAATTATATGAACGAGGGGCTTTAGAATATATTGATGATTATCCTTTATCATTTCAGTAGTAATTCCGTCAATACCAGGAGCACAGGAGTTTTTTAACGTGGATATTTGTTTTATTATTTCATTCTCTGTTACAGGATTCAAAAACATCGAATCTGCGTTTGAAATGTGTCTCTCAGAAAAGTTCACTGGAGGTTCAATTTTTTTTGACATATTCAACCCAACAATATACCTACATCATCATCATACTTTTCAGAGAAGTTTCGCTACGCCTGGTGCGGATCCGTGCCGTTGAATTTTTGACTTCAGTGCGCCCGGCGCGGATCCGTGCCACAGGTTTCTTTGTATTTCATTGCCTGAACATTTGCTAGCACTGCGTTTGAGACTACGTACGTGCAGTAGCGTGTAGCCAAGACACCAAGGAATCTAAAAAAAAATTTCGTTTCGACATTTCTTTTTTCAATAATTGGTTTAGGATGGAAACTAGCGAGGTGGGTCCTTCTAATGTAAAAAAACGAAAGCTTGCATTGCAGAACTTGAAAAGGCTCACAGACACGGAATTATAAGAAATTTTGAAGGATTCCAGTGATGAGGATATGTTTATTTCAGTTTGTTATTTTGATTTTTGTGGTTTATTATTCTAATTTTATTTTTATTATTATTTGTTTATGTATTTTTTAGAATATTTTCTTCCTTGCTTTTCAATTTATATTTCAAATTCTGGTCCTAAAACAAAAGAAAAATCTCCGTTACGAATCCGTGACGGTCAGCACTATACGATAAAAATGTTGCCCAGTGCGCCTGGCACGGATCCGTGCCACATGTCAAAAATGACAGAAATATATTAGATTAACATAATGGTTCAAGACACAGATTGTCCAAGAGCCCAGAGCCGCCAGACACAACTTATTTTCTAAAGGACAGAATATGTGGGATTGAGTAGCACTTATAGGTACTATGAACGTATGTATACCCGCTAAGTTGGGTAGACAGCCAATTGAAAATAATAGTAACAGCTGAAACTGTTATTTGTAAATAACGGTTTTTCCCATTTCTACTTTAGCCTGGAGTAGACTGTAAGTTTAAGAGGGGGAAATCAGTTGACATAGATATCTCGCTCACTCTCAAACGCATGTATAGTACCCTCGCGCTCACACTCACAGTCACGGAAAAATTATTATTGCGTCTGGAGGGATGTTTGGCCGGTGCGATTGGTCTGGCTGAGCACACGCAGTTATGAAATGTTAGTCTACCCAATAACTTAAATATATAAAAATCAAGAGTTAGGAAAAAAGTAAGTTTTTTCTCAGCTTTCGCACCTGGTGTCGGTAAATTGGCTGTCTACCCAACCGTCCCAACCGCGGGTATACATAAGTTCATAGTACAAATAGGTGCTACACAATCCCATATATTCTGTCCTTTAGAAAATAAGTTGTGTCTGGCGGCTCTGGGTTCTTGTACTATAAACAAAGACATAAAATTACATTTCTTTAACCAAGAAAAAAAGTTTTCCTGAAAAAAAGCTTCTCGCTACTGGGTGTCGGATGCTATAGGTACCTTAGTAGCAGTGGAAGTGTTAACTTGCTATATCTCAGCCATTTACTGATATTTCGATCCGAAATTTTAACTCAAGAAACTTCAGACTATGCACAGGAACAGCGCATTGAGGATTGGTTGCAAATTGCAAACTAGTGATTTCAGAAATAAACTCTTCAAATTGGAGTTAAGAAGTCTTCAATCCAATGATTTCATCTTGTACTTTTGAGATTCTTTAAATCAATCGCGCGTAGGACTTTATTCGAGAATATGAACAACTTTAACATTCTGTATCAAAAATGAACAGTTTATATTTCTTCAAATACATTTGTTTTGTTTTAGGGTGCCCGCGTCTGGATACCACATCCAGAAAAAGTATGGGAAGGCGCCATTTTACTGGAAGACTACAAGCCCGAAAAGCGTACGCTACAAGTTCAAACCGACGACGATAAAGAATCGAAAACCCTACAACTGAAAACCGAAAGCGACCTACCGTTTTTGAAAAATCCCGATATTCTAATCGGCGAAAACGATCTTACGTCGTTATCGTACCTGCACGAACCTGGAGTACTCTACAATCTACAAGTAAGAAATATGATAAAATTTGAAAATTTTGTTAAAATTGTTGTTTTAGGTTCGATTTTGTGAGAGGAAAGACATCTATACTTATTGTGGCATCGTTTTAGTTGCTATCAATCCATATGACGAGCTTCCTATATACGGTGAGTCATGCCAACATTTTATCTAAAATTAATCAGCAGTTAACATTTAAAATGACTTGGATTATTAGTTAAACAACAATAGAAATTTTTGACTTTTGATCCATCGATCGGAAGCAATAATTCTCATATGAGCGGGCGCTGTTGCCTAGTTTTGAGAACGTATATTCTGTATTCTGAGGTTGACAATTTTTCGATAATTCTTTATCATTCTTATTCAGTTCTACCTCTTTTTTCAGCTTTTCAGTTAGTTGCCTTTGTAAAACTTGTTCAGGTATCTCATGTCTGACATTCGCTGGACATATCCATATACCATAAGAGTTCGATATCGTCAGTTATTCTTCAATTTCCACTTTTTCTTTTGTGCCTTTATTTCGCATTCTGCTCTTCTTAGAAATGTACATTGCTTTCTTGATTGTAACCATCTCAATGGCTTCAATTCTTTCATTATTATTTGTTATTATTTTCTCTTCTCCTACAAATCACAGATATTAACTAAAATGAAAGTGAGTACCGGCTATTATTAAATGACACCACATAGCTGTTTATATCAAATCAAAAGCTACAGTAATCATTTTTCCCAATTCCAGATGTTGATACTATCCAGGCATATCGACGCCAAGCCATGGGCGATTTGGATCCGCACATTTTTGCTGTGGCCGAAGAAGCTTACACCAAGTTGGAGCGGGAACAACGCGATCAGAGTATCATAGTATCGGGGGAGAGCGGTGCAGGCAAAACCGTTTCCGCTAAATATGCAATGAGATATTTCGCTACAGTCGGAGGAAATGCTACGGAAACTCAAGTGGAGAAGAAAGTGTTGGCTAGCAACCCGATCATGGAGGTAACAATCTACTTTCTGTTTTTATTGGAAACATTTTTCTGCATCTGTAAGTGTCTTTTATTTTAGGCTATTGGAAACGCAAAAACAACAAGAAACGATAATAGTTCGAGATTTGGCAAGTTTGTTGAGTTGCAACTGAATAAACAATTTAACATAAGCGGAGCTTCCATGAGAACGTATTTGCTGGAAAAATCCAGAGTCGTGTTTCAAGCACCCGAAGAGCGCAACTATCACATATTTTACCAGTTGTGCGCAGCTAGGAAACAATTCGAACATTTACAGTTAGGTACATATTTTGGCTCTTATTTAGCCCTTTATTTATAATTAACTGATTTAGAACACCAGGATTCGTTCCATTACCTCAACCAAGGCTCGAGTCCAGACGTTCAAGGCGTCAACGATCTGGAAGCGTTCGAAGACACCAAAACAGCTTTAAGTTTGATGGGTTTTTCACGAACAGACCAAGAAAATATGTTCAAAATTTTAGCTGGTATTTTACATTTAGGGAATATCGAATTCAAAGCGTGTTTGGTTAAAGTGGAAAACGAGCAGGATCAGGAAGGATGCATCATACCGGTAAGAATATAGGTACCTATACAAAGTTGTTAATTTTTTGGGGATTTATTTATTTCTTCACATACAATGCAGTTTAAAATATGCTCCACGGATTGAAATATAAAACTGTTCACCTATCTGCAAAAAAAAAATAGCTACCAACCTGTTGGGCAGGCGCCATGATTTTAGTGCTTCTGACCCTGACCCGAATGAATACTAACTTCCTCTCCTCTATGATAGTACGGAAAGGGACATAGAAAGAGTAATGTTGAATGACGAAAGGCAGCTTAATTTTAACATCTACATAAGGTCTAACAGTCCAGCTGGAAAATAATAGCAATATCATTCCAGCAGTAAAAGAGTCAGACAGGGAGATGTGATATCACTGAAACTTTACACGCTGGCATTAGATGATGTATTCAAGAAGCTACAGGGTTCTGGATACCTATGGCATAAATATAAACGACAATCGTGTTCGCCGACGACCTTGTACTGATGTTTTGAAGAGATACATGACTTCAACTCAGGGCCAAAGTAAACTAGCAGATCAATATGATAATATCACTGGAATGTGACATTCCATATGAAGTGGTTGTGAAATAACGCCAATCCTGGAAGAACGTCACTGCAGGTGGACAACGCACCATTGTAGTACACAGATGGTTCGAAGCTAAGAGAAGGTCTGGAAATAACTGGACCAAACTTGAAACTCTCCTTAGCAATGAGCAGCATGCCCAAAATATTTTAAGCTGAGGTACTATGCCCAAGAGTGCCGTAAAGAGGTCTTTTAAGAGAGTACATTTACATACTGTCCAATAGTCGAGCACCTTTAAAGGCTCTAGGAGCGATCAAGTGCAATAAGCAGCTAGTTTGGGGAAGGATAAAAATATCCTTAAGAAACTGTCTGGGAGGATCAAAGTAATCCTGATGTGGGTGCCAGGACACCAGGGAATAGAGAGCAACGAGGAGGCAGACCTCGCAAAGCAAGGTGTTTCAACACATTTTTAAGTCTCAGAGCCTTTTTAAGGACAAATGAAAAGCCACTTTTCCGAAGGAATGACCATATGGAAAAAGGACCGAATGCTAGCTCATCGGAAGTCCATTCTGGGTCTAATATAGGCAAAAAGGTTCATATCCATCTCAGCAAAGAGATCTGAACAATTTCTTGACATGAACAGAAGAGATATTAGAACAGTCGTTGGTATATTGAAGAAATGTTAGTAACGGTGGCAAAAACATGGACTTTTTTGTACTATAAATTTGAGAAGTGCTATTATCATCAGATAACAATCGAAGGAAAAGAACATTTAGTTACTGCTTTTGAAGCTGATGGTCATCATTATCAATTCTCCTGTGAATGCGAAGACAACCATTAAGATCTAAGGCTATTTCTCAATTTCAAAGGATTAGGGATCATATTGTTCGTTCTGTTGTTGTATATATTGATCCTAGTATTCCTTTTGTAGTAGAAAGAAAAGAGGTAAGGGAACATGCAGCTTGTCTAAGTCCAACAGATCAACCAGTAGATTTTTTATACTTGTACGTTATCGTCAAGTGAACAAACGTACTCTGCGGTGGGAAAAGAACCATATACAATTGTGAAATCACTGAAGAAATATGGAGACATCTGATTAGCAAGAAATTTACTCTCATTAGTCATCTTTTATGTTCAATATGGCACACTCCAGCAAAATCAAAGATGAACGAAATTCTAAGATGGCGTTTAGAATTACCCTGTTTCAATTTTGATATTATGTATAGCAGGCCATCAAGAAAAAGCAATATTGTAGCTGACACAGTTTCCACTTGTTGATCAATCAGTGAAAATACTCTCTCTATATCACCTTCATCAATTAGCCCTACTATGCCATCTTAGGTCCTTATTCTTGAAACAGGGAGGGAAGCAGCGTTCCCAGGAGAACGAGTGTTCCGTCTTTGTTACTTATATTGTCACTTGCATATCAACGAGAAAGTCGGAACACTCGTTCACCTGGGAACGCTACTCCCCTGTATCAAGAATAAGGACCCTGGAGTAACGAGAATGTCGCATTGGATCATCAAATGAAGAAAACTGCCTTATTCTATTGAAGAGATCCGAAAAATAACAGCTTCCTGCCCTACATGTGCAGCCATTAAGCCTCAATTTATTGAAACACAAGGTAAACTTATCAAAGCAACTCAGACGTTTGAGAGATTGAACGTATATTTTGAGGGTCCTTCACCAGCATTTCTTGAAAGTATTTGCTAACAATAACTGATGAGTTTTCCAGATTTCTTTTTGCTTTTGCTTGTAAGAGGTTTCTGATAAATAGTATCAAAAACCATGATCAACTTTTCTCACTATTTGAATTTGGAATGCGACATTAGGTACATTCATGCAGATCAAGGATCAAGTTTTATGTCCTGAATGACAGCAAGTTTTGGCCGAAGAATGTGATTTTTAGACCGTTTACTCGACACTATGGGCCAAAAAGGCGAGCACCTCATATTGCAGAAAATAATCAAAATTTTCACTACCCTCAGACCGTAGGAAGAAGCTCATAACATTTTATTATCAGAATGTGAGAGGTATAAAATTTATGCTCTAGATTTTAATGTGTATTGCTCTTATGGAATACTATTTACTAACTGAAACATTCCTGGAAGATAGCGTAGAGAGTTTGAGCCTGGAAGGTGATTTTGTCTATAGATGTGACCACAGACAGAACTAACAAAACCAGTGTTTGTTTGACGCAGGTGGGGTGTTCATTGCAGTTAGTGTCGTCTTTTTCGTACACAAATTGATAATGTTGAACAAATATTTATTGGAAATCATAAGGTCCTGGTGGGCAACACATATATTCCTGGTGTCTCAGATATCAACGTATATGAAAGTTTCTGTTTTTCTGCGATGCACTTGGTGGATCAACAGATTTTACGGATAATTTTCTCTGGGGTGACGTGACACCAAACTGCCTAAAGTGACCTGAGTTAGTAGTGTTGATGGAACATCTCCACTGGGAACTTTTACTGTGAAGCCACTACGATGTCTGGGTTTGTTCCAGAACATTCAGGCAACCACGTCAAGGTAACGAAAACAATAAAGAAGGAAATACTAACAGTAAATGTAGATAAAAGGAAACCCAGGATGACTGATGAGATCCTGAGCTTAATGGAAGAAAGAACAAAATAAATAATAACATGAACGGATATAGAACCATTAACAACCAGATTAGAAGAAAAACCAGAGAAGCAAAAGAACAAGAGCTCAAAGACAAATGTACAGAGATTGAAATATCACAATCAAAGCTCGACACATTTGGTGTACAGTTCGACGATTTTAATCTGATACTCCAAAGGAATGTAAGCTGGTGGCTCCCTACATTCGAACGCCAATGGTCACCTGACGTCACACTGGTTTTTGCCATAAGCTTCACCCCCTCGCTTCTTATACGGTCAGAAGGTCAAGGAAATAACAGGAAAATCCAAGAAGAAATCAATAGGAAAAATGGAAAATGACCAAGGAGAAATAATTATTGTAGACATTGAACAAATATATAATTAATATGGAAAAATTACGTGCAGGAATTGTTCTCAGACCTAAGAGAAGAACAACTAGTAACGAACGAAATAACAGGACCGGGCATCCTTTTAGATGAAGTTGAGGCAGCAATACGGTCACTCAAAGATGAAAAGGCTGCTGGTCCACGTGAAGTGCAGTCAGAGATCATTAAACTCTTTGATGAAGATTTCAAAAAAGAATCAACTGTCGATGAAATATACAACAGTGGAAAACTACGAAAAGAATGAGATCAAAGTTTATAGTTTTGCCAAAAAAGCAGGGCGACAAAAAATGCATTGATTACAGAACAATAATAAGCCTCATCATGAGTCACTTGTTGAAACAATTTTTGAAAATTATGCATCGGAGATCAGGAGTATCACCAACAAAATTTGGGCTTTATGAAAGGTCTTGGTATAGAAGGGACGCCTTATTCAGTGTACAGGTGCTCTTCCAGCATTTCACAGATATGAATTGTAATGTGTATACCTGTTTCATTGAAGGGGTAAGGCTAACACCTCAAGAGGTGAGCACTTTAACACCCAGGAAGCTCGTCTCCTTTGGAAAAAGCCTACAAATCTTGGACCCCAACTAGAAGTAGAGTCACGCAAAAAATATCTGGAAAGGTAGCAGTACTTGAGTGGCTGGAAAAAGCTATAACGACTCCAAATACTATCGACAATAGACTTAGTTGGTAAGAGAGTCGGAAGGAAAGAAACTAGCAAAAAAAAATTAATAAGGGGAATACATAATTAGAAGACCAACTAAAAATAAGCTGTATCAAGAGACCATACTCCTGGATACGGGGCCACGTATCACAACAGAAATGGAGTTTTGCAAAACGTGAAGGAAGACCCAAGGAGCAAAAATGGATGGCATGGTTAGTACATCAAGCAAGAGGAGTGGAAAGGAACGATGATTTGGAAGTAAATGGACTGAAATGGAAACAAGCAGCACATAAAACGAACAGCGTTCGTTTGCGAAGATTAGGAAGCCAAAGTTTGCAGCTTTGCTTATTCAAACATCCCCTTTAATAATGCGTGTGCTTGATTTTTTCATGAAACAACTAAGGGCATTACTTAAATTATCTAGTATCTTCAATTTTAAACTCCCAGTAACATGAATATTATATTATTTTTTTCAGAAAACTGATAAACATTTGAAAGTCTTATCAGAACTATTAGAATTGAATGAAGAAGAATTGAAGCAATGGCTCGTAACAAGAAGAATCGTTTCAATGAGGGACGTTTACCTGAAACCGATGTCCAAACAAGAAGCTGCCTTTTCGCGTGACGCATTAGCCAAACATATTTACGCCGAACTATTCAATTGGATCGTACTTGTCATCAATAAGGCCCTAGAATCGAACATAGCTAGACACAAGTTTATAGGAGTATTGGATATTTATGGTAAGCATTTTTTCTTTAAAGCATTCAATCGTCTTAATCTTTGAATTTTTAAGGTTTTGAAACATTCGAAACCAATTCTTTCGAACAATTTTGTATAAACTACGCCAACGAAAAGCTGCAACAACAATTCAACTTGCACGTGTTCAAGCTGGAACAAGAAGAGTATATAAGGGAAGGCATCGAATGGAAAATGATCGACTTCTACGACAATCAACCTTGCATCGATTTAATCGAATCGAAATTGGGAATTTTGGATTTGCTCGACGAAGAATGCAAGGTGATGATTTGTTTTTATTTAAATTAATAAATATCAATTTTACTGTTTTTGTAGATGCCTCGTGGATCGGATGCTTCATGGAGCGAAAAGCTCTATCAAAAATGCGCCAAATACCCGCACTTTTCCAAAAACCGTTTCGGCAAACTCAGTTTCATCATCAATCACTTTGCCGACAAAGTCGAATACGAAAGCAACGGGTTTTTGGAGAAAAACCGTGACACGGTCATCGAAGAACAAATAACCGTCATCAAAGCGAGCAAAAACCATCTACTGAAGCGCCTCTTTGGCACTGACGATCAAAAACTGCAAATACCTGGAGCCAAAATGAAAATATCTGCTGCAAAAGCTGATCCTGGAGCTAAGAAAAGTCACAAAAAATCGGTCGGGTCGCAATTTAGAGAATCTTTGAGTGCATTGATGACTACTTTGAATGCTACAACTCCTCATTATGTCAGGTGTATAAAGCCTAATGACAGTAAGGCTGGATTTGATTTTAATGCCAAGAGGGCGGTGCAACAATTGAGGGCTTGTGGTGTTTTGGAAACTATAAGAATATCTGCAGCAGGTAAGAATGAGTCACTCATCATCAGAAAAAAATTAGTTCTTTTGACTCAAGAATTGACCTCAAGTGTTTTCAATGTTTTAAGTCAAACATAATCAATTCAAGTTAAATTGTGAATCTAACTTTGGACTTTGCTAGTTGACTTTAATGCTCTAATGGTCAATTTTAAATGGGTAAATTTCCATAAAACCCTCTACTATGGATCAAAACCAATGTCATCTTAACACAGATAAACACCGCATCTCATTCCTAAGCTGATGTATGATGTGATGACAAGGCCTCCATGAACCAAAAGAGGTGAGCTGGAGGTCATGGTAGGGATGCATCAGAGGTGTGAACAAGACCCGCATTTCCCTCTGAACCCGTCATTCACTTGACTTAAATACGGGTGTAACTCGCTTGGATAAGATATCAATCCGTAATATTCCGTAGTTGGAGAGGATACACTGGAGGTGGATCGCTCTCCTAGATGTTGACGACACACAATTGTGTTTACTGTAATGTCTATTTGTGTTAATATGTCATCGATCAAACTGTCGTATCCTCTCCTCGAAACTATAACAGATATCGAAACAAAGCTTGTACAGGTCTGGAAAAACTCAACCAACCTTGAAATAATCAATTTTGAAGAATTCGATTTTTTTTTTCGATAAACTTTTTGCCTCATGAAGACCTTTCAAGCTATCAATTTGAATTTCAGAAGGTTGATAAAAAAAAAATTCTGTCTATAGTCTGTGTATCAAATCTCGAAATTCTCATAAATTCCAATAAAACGCTCGCAAAGCAACAAAGTCAAGTTTTTTCACGTCTAGTAGGTTTTGTCTAGACTCTAGACCATGTGAAGTCCCACCTTCAACAATAAGTTTAGGAAGTTTTCAAAAAGTTGGGTTTCGACACTTGAAGGTATTCCTTACCCAAAAAAACGCTTCAGAAAAATTTAGTATACATGTTCACTCTCTTGCATCCATTTTTAAACCTTTTCTGTAATAATTTCAGGCTTCCCGAGTCGTTGGGACTACCTGGACTTCTTCTACCGCTACCGAGTATTGTGCAAATTCAAAGACATCAACAAATCGAACATGGAAAAAACTTGCAGGAATATCCTGGTGCAACACATCAAGAACGAGGACATGTACCAGTTTGGAAAAACGAAAATTTTCTTCAGAGCGGGCCAGGTGGCTTATTTGGAAAAATTGCGTTCGGATAAACTGAAAGCCTGTTGCATTATGATGCAGAAAACCGTGAGGGCTTTCATTGCCAGGAAAAAGTACCAGAGGATTAGGAAAGCTGCCATTTTGTTGCAGACTAGAGGCAGAGGATTGTTAGCTAGAAGGTAAGAATTTCTATTTTATTTTTTTGCTTGAGTCTCAAGTCAAAGTTGAAAAATAGCTTTAGTGACATAAAAGTTGCGCACACAAAGCCATACTTGAGTTTACAATAACTAAATATTATCTAATAAAAAGTAGAGTCAAAATCCAGTAGACCATTGACATACATAGAATCAGGCAAAGGGTCCTGGAAAACTCCGACAACGAGTGAAACCGATTCAAAGTGATGCTCCTGAAACATTTCTCTTCAGTCTTCACAACCTTATTCCATAATCAAAATGCCTTTAATAAATGAATAACTATTTCTCCGATGTGTAGCTGATTGTAGAATAGCTGAGGATTATGGCATCGCCATTCTCCAAACTTTCCAGGAAATTTTAAACTGCTGCTCACTATAGATACCATGCATATCAAAAGATAAAACCATTTTCGCTCTAACGAGACTTTCAACCAGTTTGGCTACTTGGAAATTCAAAGGTGTGTCATTCCTCATTTTATGGATAGTTTGGGGTTATGTCACAAAAAAAAAAGTTATAATTTATTATCTCGGTGAGAACCTTACAGGGTGCTCAAAGAAAACATGAGAATCGCCCTTGAAAATGGATCATCCTACTGAAACGATTTCTTAGTTTTGGAATCGGTGAGTTTTCCTTTGCCCCTCAACTGCTAAAAAGAAAAATCAAAAGTTTGAAGTTTTTGGTAAGCAGTACGCACATATGGCAATGGAGAAATTCAGGTTATTAGCAACTCTCAGTGCGTAGCAACCAGAAGAAATTTTGTCTCTTACTTTCGCAGTATGAGTCTTTAAACATAAGAGACCTGTCTATTAACAGACCTAAGAATTTATTGAGGATTGGCATAGTGATGGGTTCATTTTCCAAGTAAATATCTTCAGTAGGACAATTAGATGTCAAAGAATTGGCGTTACACCACTTTTCCATTTCAAGCAGATCCGTTTTCATATTGGCCTCATTCCACCAACATCTGAACTATGCCAGAGGATAGTGGTATCGTCTGCAAATACTGTGAATCTACCTGATATCTGGAGTTGTGGTAGTTTATTTACATAAATGAGGAAAAGCAGGGGACCAAGTACCGAGCCCTGAGGGACGCCAACACTAATACCTTTCCTAGAGGTACCACCATTAAATTTAACAGCCTTAAGATGATCCGACAAGTAAGAATTAAACCATTTCAGGGCAGTTCCCCTGAAACCGTACAGCTCAAATTTCCACAGCAGCACTCTGTGGCTAACACAGTCAAAAGCCTTTCAACAAATCACAGAACATCGTTGCAGCGACCTCGCCATAATAGCTCAGGATATTGTTAAGGTGTTCAAGAAAGTCGTCGAAGATGGTATCCCCTATATAGGTATACCTGGATTCATGAAAGCCAAACTGCTCAGGATTCAAAAGGCCACGCTTGTTCAAGAATGAAACCGTCCTAACCTTAGTGCGAAGTCACACTATACGTTTTTAACGCTGCGGTAAGAAGGGACGCGTTTTGACTGGATGAACTCTACTTGTCACATCGTTTAATGGGAAGTTTCACCAGGGGCCGTATTCTTGATTTCTGGGAGGAGAACTTGCTCGGGAAGTGGACGTGGTTTACCTCAAAAAGGTACATGTCATATTCTTGAAAATGGGACTGTGAAGTGAAAGTTCCCGGGAATTCTGAAGTTGTCGAATTGTAGTAAGTATCATGGCGAATTCATTAAAGTTTGTGTGTACTCTAGAAGCGGAGGGTTTATTAGAAAAGGTGGTGGATTGTCAATATTGGATTCACCGTTTCAATTGGGAACGAGAATCGAGTGAAAGGTTTGCCTAGAAATTTGAATGTACGACTGTGTATTCTTTCGACCTTTTCCTCCATAATGCTTGTTTACCGTGGAGGCACTCAATGAATAAATCCACGTCAAACCTGATGAAATTTGATGAAAAACCAAACAACAAACCACGAACTCAAAAATTGCTTAAGAACCACTGCACGTTGCATCTGGTTTGGGTGCGGAGTGTGCGGTACACGGTTACACTATCCCAGCAAACCGGAGCGTTCTTGCTGCAACGGTGAAAACGCTATGTATGACACTACACTTAACGAGCCGCTCCGCAACCTTAGTGCGGTGTCACACTATGCGTTTTCAACGCTGCGGCAAGAAGGGATGCGTTTTGACCGGATAATCTCTACTTGTCACACGAGCCCTGCGAGATCCGTTTGTGTGTGACTGCTCTCATTTAATACAATGGGCTTACGCCATCCCGGCAAACTGGAGCGTTCTTGCCACAGCGATGAAAACGCTAGGTATGTGTTTTCACCGCTGCGGCAAGAATGCTCCGGTTTGCTGGGAGGGTGCAAACCCATTGTATTAAATGGGAGCTGTCACATACGGCGTTGTACCGCACCCATACCGGATACAACCGCATCATGCTGCGGCGGCACCGCACGACCGGGCGACCGAAATAGAACGAAAACACGTGCATCAGTTGTATGTTTGTAGTCACACCTGACAGTTCGAACGCAGCGGATCTTCAGACATTTTTGAGTTCGTGGTTAGTTTTTTCATCACATTTCAACATTTAACGTGGATCTATTCATTAAGTGCATCCGCGGTAAATAAGGAATTATGGGTCAAAAGTTCGAAAGAATACTCAGATAAAAACTGTAGAGAGAAAACCTGTGTGGAATTTGGACAAATTATAAATAAGAATTGGATGGAGCTTGACTCAACGAAAACAGATGAGAAAGGTTATTTTGAATAATCTTCAGTGAATCCGCCATGAATCTACCACTACCAAAATTCGACTGGCGAAACATTACGTTAAAACGGACCCGATGGGATCTTGTGACAAGTAGAGTTCATCAGGTCAAAACGCATTCCTTCTTTCCACAGCGTTAAAAACGTATATTGTGATACCGCACTTGGCCAGAGTAGGCAACAATGCTATAGGCCTAGTTAGGACACTCGTCCTCGTAGAGGGATGATCACAGAGAAACGTGAATTGCAAAAACCTGCTACGCAACCATGGGTAAAGCCAGAAATATCCTCAATCCCATCCCAACCTACCGCACCCATATCCTTTATATTTCCGAGTATGCATTTAAGCTCTTCTACATTAGCAGCAAAAAAGAAAGATTCAGCAACCACTAGATGTTTTAAATAGCTCCTGGGATCAACCCCCTGTTGAAATTTTGGTTGAGAGTTCAGTGGCAATATTGCAGTGAAAAGAATTTAGGCCATCAGGATGCAGATTGCTTGAAGTGACCGAAACATTATTCCTACCCCTCAGGTCATTTACAATGCTGCAAGTTTCCCTTGAGTTATTAGAAAAATTATTCATCCTATGCTGAAAGTAAGAGTAAGTCCACTTGGCAAGCCTGATCGATTAAAATTGGCACCTTTAAAAACAGATCCAAAAATGAATACATATACGGGTGTCCCACGGTGGATGGCGTATTAGACGTTTATGGAGAACTAAAAAGCGGATCATTTTGAAAATTTGGCAACCGGGATAAACGACCATGATCTACACTTTAAAAATATTTTTGACCATGCGGTGTTGCCGCTTCTACTCTAAACTAGTGGCAACATCACTATTTTAAATGGAACACCCCGTATTAAATTGCATATTTGGATTCTACGTAAAATTCTAAGCAGATTTCATGTGATATACCCTATACCTAAGTTCAACTGTTTTGGAAATATTGACAGTTGAAAATTGACTTTCTGCAAATTTGACAGGCTGTAGAACCTGAACGGTTAATTTTAGAGGAAAACCGATTTTACATTCCTATCTTAGATTTTTATAAACTATCATTTGACACCAACTTAGAATTAAATCCATGATTAAAAATTTCAGTTAAATTTAATCTCTGGTTAAGTTCAAAGTTGGTGTTAAATGATAGTTTATCAAAATCTAAGATAGGAATGTGGAATCGGTTTTCCTCTAAAATTAACCATTTAGGTTTTACAGCCTGTCAAAGTTGCAAAAAGTCAATTTTCAACTGTCAATATTTCCAAAACAGTTGAACTTAGGTATAGGGTATATCACATGAAATCTGCTCAGAATTTTACGTAGAATCCAAATATGCAATTAAATACGGGGTGTTCCATTTAAAATAGTGATGTTGCCACTAGTTTAGAGTAGAAGCGGCAACACCGCATGGTCAAAAATATTTTTAAAGTGTAGATCATGGTCGTTTATCCCGGTTGCCAAATTTTCAAAATGATTTGCTTTTTAGTTCTCCATAAACGTCTAATACGCCATCCACCGTGGGACACCCTGTATGTACCTGGAACAATATTTGTATGCTATAAACCAGGGATGGGCATCTACGCGTAAATAAAGATTTTCTACGTTCTGGTGTAAACAACGCGTAGACTATGTGAGTACGGAGTATATAGGTCTTCTGCAGCCTTATTCTTGAAACAGGGGAGCAGCGTTCCCGGGAGAACTAGTGTTCCGTCTTTGTTACTTATATTATCAGTTGCATATCATTGAGAAAGACGGAACACTCGTTCTCCTGGGAACGCGGCTCCCCTGTTTCAAGAATAAGGACTCTAGGCCAAAACAGAGACGAGACAAAGAGATACTCCCCCTACCTTTCAAGATACTACCTACACAAACTACTGTTTTGCTGGTTTTCACTGATTTCGTGCCGGTTTTCACTGGTTTCGTGCTGGTTTTCACTGGTTTCGTGCTGGTTTTTCACTGGTTTCGTGCTGGTTTTCACTGGTTTCGTGATGGTTTTGTGTTGGATTTTGCTGGTTTTATGCTGATTTCCACTAGTTTTGTTCTGGATTACGTTGGTTTAGCTGCTTTTCACTTGACTTTGAAGGGGGATTGCTTGAGATCGAAACTAGTAGGGAGTATATAGGCGCTCTGGGCCAAAACAGAGACGAGACAAAGAGACACTCCTCCGACTACTCAAGATACAACCATCCCCCTACCGCACCCTCTGTGGATTTCCATCCCAGCTACGGTCGAAAGAGACACATACAGCTACCCTAACCGCGCCCTGTATCCCCGTAACGGTCACTCAGGATACAACGATACAACAATCCCCCTACCGCGGCCTGTATCCCCCTACCAGGCACTCGAGATTCTACACACAACCATCCTCCTACCTATCGTGCACTCAAAATAGTAGGTAAAGTATCCCTGCATGTTCCTATAATTATCCCCCTAGTTTCGATCTCAAGCAATCCCCCTTCAAAGTCAGGTGAAAACTAGCTAAACCAGCGAAATCCAGAACAAAACCAGTGGAAATCAGCTTAAAACCAGAAAAATCCAACACAAAACCAGCACGAAGCCAGTAAAAACCATCACGAAACAAGTGGAAACCAGCACGAAAACAGTGAAAACCAGCACGAAACCAGTGAAAACCAGCAAAATCCAGCATAAAAGCAGCAAATCCAGCAAGTAAAACAATTTTTGACATTTGTCAGGCCTTTGAGGTTATGCTTCTGTTTTTGCAATATAAATTTCATGCAATGCAAACTTCCAAAAAATAACTCAAATTTCAATTTTTCCGTTGTCTAGGTACACTACAGTATTATGTCTACATAGTTTACATAGTCTACATGGAAAAAAGTAGATGTAAACAATACGTAGTTAACGAGTAGACAAATCGCATAAAGTAGATTTCATAGTCTACGGTACATCTCTGCTGTAAACTGCTTCGTCAAGTAAAGATTCTACAGAAAATTGAACTGGATATCATCAGATCATCAAAAATTTAAAAAAAAAGAGACTTTCTGTGTCGATATATCTTTGAAGATGTTTGGTTGTTGGTTGGTTATTACTGTTGTGCATCCGTTGCGTTGAGGAACACTCCGTTCTTGACAACGCTTAATGAAAATCGCATTCGGTATTTTCAAGTCTTCTTCCTCCTCGGTTGGAATCCGACTGTCGATGTACAGCTTCAAGAGAACAGCAAAGTCAGACAGAAGATAACGTATGCAACAAACCATTGGTCTATACATTGCGTAAATTTAAACGGCAAACAAATAAACCATCTATGGTTGACCGAAGACATCATTGTAGGTACTCAACAACAGTATTGAACAGTTGATGACTAGTCAGTTGGCAAGAAATATAGGCCTGAAAATAGATTTTGAGAAAACAGAAGTGGAAAAATCTTGTTGGGCACAGATCAAAGGCATAATATGTATCGACGACCTCCAAGCTAATAGCATAGGCTTACACTAAAGACAAGGGGCTGGCGACAATTTGATAAAGTTTATATCTAAAGATGAGGCTTATAGAACGATAACGGGCTGGAGAAATAGGATACCTAATCCTCCACGCTTTGATGGAAAAATTGGAAGATTTCCTCTTCAGCACTTTCTATCGAGGAAAACAGACTGTGTTTCTTAAGGATTCACAAACCACAAGCTTCTAAGTGAATTTGTCTACTCTTTCCGGTGTTTGGGATTATTTCGTGTTGTAGAACCAGGACGTGTTGGTCGTGTTTTTTTTTTCCTTAAGGAAAGCACAATGTAGGTTTGAAAGCACCAGAGTTTATTGACATTTTGATATAATTATCTTTTAATTGCCCAACATTTACTTTGGATCTCTTCTGTAAATAATTTTTTTTAAAACAAAGGCAAGTTGCAAATATTTTTTTATACTAAAATACAAAAAAAAAAAACCTTAGGAAGTCTTAGAATTTGTCAAGGTATATCTCTACTATCTTAGTGAATGAAGATAAATACTTTTATTTATTTACCTACTCCTATTGGTGTACGAAACTCAAAAGTTTCAATGAGAAATTCAACTTTCGTAGTTTTTTGCCACAATATTTAGACCAGAAACACGGTAAAGATGATATTTTTGCTAAAGTGCATCAAAATAACTTTTTTTTAAGGAAAAATTTTGGCCATAATAATTTTAATCTAAAACAAAATGTTTGGTTATTTGAACTAATACTTTTTAATCGCAATAGACAATGGACCATATAATATTTTAATTCCAAATGCAACAAATAACAAAATATTTGATTTTTTTTTCCAAAACTTCACAACATTTGGGGCACATTAATGTCTGCATTCTATAAAGTTAATTACCCTCTCTATTTTCAGAAAAGCTCAAACCATCAGAACAGAAAGGGCGGCGGTGAACATTCAGAGGTACGTCAGAGGGTATTTGATCCGGAAAACTTACCACCAGAAGCGAAATTGCATTTTGGGACTACAAAGACACATCAGAGGATACTTGGCTAGAAGGACGTTCAGGTTTATGCAAAATAATGCTAAGGTAAGACAATTAGAGTAGATGCCTACTTTATATAGGATGTCGTCGTATCAAAAATTCAACAGCTCTTTCAATAATTTTTATTTTTATATTTCTACAAAATGTATAAATCTTTGACTTGGTCTATGAACGAGACATGCTCTTTTTGAGATGGGTATTCTGTCCCCAATCAGCATCTGAATGAGGCTGGAAAACATTTTATTTTTCCATAAACTAATGAAGTACCTACCTAGGTAGGTATTACATATCTCTTTCCTATACTTTCGTGTACAAATATAGGATGTTTTCTGTTGGAGAAATGATATTTCTTGTAGTGGTTTAAAGATGTTCCTTGAAATTGAAAGTAGAACTAGGGGTTTGCCTGTCCAAAGTCTCCAGTGATGAAATTTCTCTACTGTGCGTCTTTGGAAGCAATCTTTGTTTGTGCAAAACCCTCTTTGGTCACCTTCTTCTTGCCATGTTCAACCTTCAATTTCCACCTTCCTGGTGCGACAGCCTCTTTGGTCACCCTCTTTTTGCCATTCCTAACCCTCACTTTCTACCTTCCTGGTGCGATGCTCGGGCTTCATCTTCTGGTTGATCTTGGATCTTGGAGCTTCACTCTCATATGGTCTTGAGTCATCATCATTTTTCTTATGTGTTCCTCGATTTCGCATAACTTTTCTTCATTTTGATTATATGTCAGGGTTTGCTCATTCAACATTTTTTCTCTTCATTATTGCTGCAACAATAGTTGATCAAAAAAATTCTCTGAAAATTCCTCCTTTCTTGTTCCGCCTTTATGAACAATCAATTACTGCTATCATGTGACCATAACTTGACAAAGTTCTCTGGATGTAAATGTGAACATTTCTACTTATTTATTGACAATTTTCTCATTTTTTCTTTAGGCAATTGTACTTCAAAGATACATAAGAGGTTACCTGGCAAGAAAACACTTCGCCAAACGTCTGAAGTACGTAGTAACCTGTCAGGCAGCCATTAGAAGATTTTTAGCTAGAAGGCAATACAAGCGACTCAGAATAGAAGCCAGGTCCATCGAACACGTTAAAAAGTTGAACAAAGGCCTGGAAAACAAAATTATTAGCTTGCAGCATAAGATTAACCAAATCAATAAAGTCAATGGTGAATTGATGAGTTACAAGAATGAAGTGAACGAGATAAAGTAAGGATTTTCGTTAGAATTTTTAATTTTCTTTACCTATCAATATTTATTTTTAAGGAAAAAGATGACTAAATTCAAGGCCCTAGAAATGGAAGTGAAAAACCTAAACAACCTTTTAATAGAAAAAAACAAAACCATCCACAATCTCCAAGAAGAACTGCATGCAGAAAAAGATGAAAAAGTCGACCTTATCAACGAACAAGAAAAATTCAAAAAAGAAGTCGACAATCAACGGACCTTATACTCACAGGAAACTGATAAACTTAAAAAGGAATATGAAAACATCATCGAAATGCTTAAAATGAACGAAAAAGGCGCGGAAGAAAACATCAAGCTACGGTTGGCAGAAGAGAAGAAGGAAATACTTCATGACGTTGACCATGAACGTCATGCCTATCAGAAACTGTTGCAAGAGTATCACAATTTGGAGCAGCATTGCGAAGAACTTGAGAAAATGGTCAATAAGCAAGGCCACAAGAGAAACACTAGCGATTTGAGTAGCATATCTACCATGGATGTTAGTAACGTGCCTGAAGATCATGGATATGGATCCGTTAGAAGCACCACTAGCACCAGGGAGAGATTGGAGAATATTGATTGGAGCGGTAAGGAATTTTTGTTTATTCAAAACATATATATTTTTTTTAAAACAATTCTTCCAGCAGCTACCAACGAAAGTCAAACCCCAAGCTCAACAACAGACTCCAATGCAAAATCAGAACTGGAAAACAACGTGGACATTGGCTTGGTACTGAAACTTCAAAACAAACTAGGAGATGTTGAACGCGAACGGGCACGACTTCAGAAACGCATAGACGAACTTGACATGTCACCGAGAGTAGAAAGGTAAAACCGCATCGAAAATATTTTACTCTGAATTCACCTCAAAGTATATTGGTTTCAGGGCCGAAAACGCTGCAAAAGACGCTATCAGAGTATCCGAAATGGAACTGTGCAACTCGAACCTGAAATCTCAACTACTGGAGCTTCAAAATAGTATAAACGAGGGCACTGGCTTGTCCAAGCTGCACGAACAGTTGCAGCAAATGCAAATTGAGCTGGACAGGCGTAGCGAGGAAGTTGTCCAATTGAAAAGCGTTTTGGCTAGTCAGACTGATAGTATGAAGTCCATTGTAAACTCCAATAATCGAATGGGTAAGTTTTGACGCTAGCGTTTGGTATTTGAGCAAAACTAACCTAATGTGCTTTGATAAGGGTGATTTTTGTAGCTGGTAAATTTGGTTTATTGCTAGTTTTAATTGGAATTAAGGAAAATTTTGGCTTCTTAATTAATGTAGATACAGATTAGAGATTAGATAACTATAATTTTGTTTCCTAAATCTGCAGGGTCTACAAATTAAAAGCCTATATATTTTTTTTTTTCACTTGCTTGCTTTCATTATATAATATAATCAATATCTATTCCTTCTTTAAGGATAGATTACTAAGTTGCTTCCACTAACCATGAAAAAAAGCTTGAGACCTAACTTTATTTGGTTAATAAAGAAATGCTTTTACAAATCTCAGTACAGTAAGCAATGGCGATTCCTAAAATCAATGACCTATACCAAACCATAATTTCTTCTTATCAGAAATACAATTAAGGGATGATTCTGATCTAGAAGCCTCTACAGTTTTTAAGTAACTTGCATTTGTTCGAAAATTCAGAAAATAAACATTATCTTTTGATAGACATTACAATTTTGGTGAATTACACTTTTCCGCATGGTATTGAGCAAATACATATTTTGTATGGAAAGAACTTTTTCTAAATGCTCTAAGTGGAACAAATGTGTTCATAGTTGAAAAAAAAAGTCGCACAATTGTTTAAAATTTACTTTTGGAAGTATCTACTTCATAAAGAAGTCTCTACTCTTATTTACCACAATTTCACTATTTATAACATCGTTCACTGTTATTTGGTCTTGGTAACAATCACATCATCATTCCCAACCAAAACCAGCTTTATCCTAACTCGGGCAATGCTTAGACTATACCTAAACGCCCTAACTGCTATCCATATTAGGTTCGTTTTGTTCCACCATTAATCTTCCGAAAAATGATATTACAACTCCAGGTGCCTACATAAACGAAGACGGCGAACTAGCCTTAGCCTACGAAACCCAAAAATCCATCAACAAACAACTAGAACTAGAACTACAAGACGAAATAGCCAAATTCAAAGCGCACGAACGCGAATACAAATTGGAAATTGATAAGTTAAGGGAGGACAATGAAAGACACCAACGAATCCTATCTGCCAATCTGAATACGAGTCCGGCATCTCAAAATGAAGCCTTCATGCAACACGAAATTACCAGATTGACCAACGACAATTTAACATTGCTGGATAGAACGGAGAGTTTAGCTGAGACTATAAGGGAACTGAAAAGGCAAGTCAAACATTTATCAAGAAGACTGAAAGATGCTAATTTAGATGTTGAGGAGACTTTGTTGGCAGCCAATCAAAGAGCAGCTGCTCCAATTCCTCCAGGTCGCACTCCTGCTTCAATTAGGAAAAAGGATCGGGAGTATTTGGGAATGTTTTCGTATCCTGTAGGCGATGAGGGGATTATAATGAAAAGATTAGTGATAGGTAAGAATTTTGAAATTAATTAGTAGGTATCCGTTCAAATATTTTCTTTCTACAGAACTTAAGCCTAGATTAGCCCTTACGCTGTTGCCATGTCTACCAGCTTATATAACTTTCATGTGCATCAGACATACGGATCACATTAATGACGAAGATAAAGTACGCAATCTTCTGCAAAGTTTCATGAAATCTGTAAAAAAAGTCATCAGAAAGGCACAGAAGGACGACTTTGAATCTATGACGCTTTGGATTGCAAATCTACTTAGGTAAGTACCTAACACTTTTGTTTTTCGTTTTAAATTTACTCCTAACATTATTTTTCTAGGTTGGTAATGTGTCTGAAACAATACAGTGGTGAACGTAGCTTCCAAAAGTCCAACACTCCCACACAAAATGAACAAAGCCTAAAGAATTTCGATCTCTCAGAGTACCAGCAGTTATTGCAAGATCAAGCCGTATGGGTTTATCAGGGTATCGTGCGAAATTTTGAAGAAAAAATCCAACCTTTAATAGTACCAGCCATTTTGGAGCACGAAGAAGTACCGGGAATGATTGGTAAAACTAGCGCCAGAGGGCGTACGGGTAGCATTTCAAGTCCTACATCAGTGACTGCGCAACAGAAACCTACTACCGCTTTGTTACAAGAATTGAGTAATCATCATAAGGTATTAAAAGTGATGAGAGATTTTCAGCAATAACTTCAATTATTTTTTTGTAGATTCTGATGTTTTACGGTGTAAACTCCGACCTAATTTCACACACGTTCAAGCAAATATTCTATTTCATATGCGCCTCAAGTTTGAATAATTTACTATTGAGAAAAGAGCTGTGTCATTGGTCGAAAGGTTGTCAAATTAGGCACAACTTGTCGCATCTGGAGATGTGGACGAGAGACAAAAATTTGGACGAGAGCATCCAGTTCACGCTGCAGCCGATTATCCAAGCGGCTCAACTTTTACAAGCTAGGAAAACCGATACCGACGAGGACGTGAGCAATTTGTGCGAAATGTGCGACGCCTTGACGCCATTGCAAATTTGTAAAATTTTGAATTTGTACACGCCGGCCGACGATTACGATAAGATTCCGTTCTCGTTTATCCGGAAGGTGCAGGAGAAATTAAAGGAACGGCAAAACAACAAGGACCAACAGGTAAAATACCAATTCATTTTTATACAAGATATAAGACAAATTTTTACTATTTCAGACTTTACTGATGGACATCAAGTACCTATTTACAGTACCATTCGTCTACGATCCCTCAGATATTCGACTTGAGGAAATTGAAGTACCAGATTGCCTAAATCTACCAATGTTGGAAAAAGTTTAAATTTATATGCCATATACGTCGAGCCATATGTTTTATGCTTCATAGGAGATACCTAGCCTTACCATTGCATTGTCTTTCCATTTAAAAAAAAAATAGCTTTAAAGTACAATAAAACATATTATTTGTAAATAACTATAGAGAAAAATACTTACCTAAAGAAACCAATTATTTAGTATTACCATATCATTAAATTCACAAAAGAAGGCGTGATTAATCTAAATCAATTAGTGGGAGATAACATCGCATACCAGGTTATGGGCCCAGATGTTTAAAAATTGTAAGCTGCCTCGCCACCTTACGTGAAACCGATTAGGTATATTCTTAGCTATCCAATGTGTACTGATTGTTTAAAAAAAAAGATTTAAAATATTCTGTATGTACTTATATTATATTATAGTTCAATTTTAGAAAAATGTATTCTATGTATTTAAACAGGGTGAAATCCTGGTACCTACTTGATAGATTTCAGTATTTATTGTGGTATTATGTTCCTTAGTTTCTTGAGTACCTAGCATTAAAATGTTTTTAAAAATCTATCTTATATCACTATTTGTTTTATACCTAGTGAAGTGATTGTCTGGCGTACGATTGTCCTTTGGACAAAATTTCGAAGAATGTGATTGAAGCTGTGCCTCTTTAAGTACATTTAAGTTTTGAAATTCTATCAAAAATTCACTTTTTTTTATGTAAATATTATTTAGAAAGAAATTTATCTATACCTATACATATTTTAAAGTTACCTGCTCTCATTTGAAAATTATGTATCTGGTAGAGATGAGCAAAAGCAATTTGTTAAAATAATAATAAGTTATATTATTGTTAAATTTTAAGCACATCAATTATAAACTCAGATATATGTTATACAAAAATAAATATTGTTACAGATTAAAATATAAAAAGAGAAATTTATTAGCGTTATAAAATTAATTATTTTATTAGTTTTAGGAACAAATACTTTGGGCTCTGTAAATTAAATATATTTTCAAATAGATAAAGAATAATAAAGATATTTGTTATGGATGGTTAATTAAATTACATATATTAAAAATTGAAAATTTTGAGTAAATTTATGATTGATGACCAATAATAATTATTGTTTTATTTTGTTTTTGACTCCCTGAAAATTATATTGTCATGTGATTGACTCGACAGAAGAAAAGATATCTCATAGATAGAGAGAAGAAGTTGAATTATTGAAAATGTGAAGAACAAAAAATTGGCAACACAGAACCATAGTTTTTTATCTTATTGAGCATTGGGCAAAAATTGTTTTTATTGAATTTTTGCGTGTTCTATGATTTTCTAGGGAAGATTATCTGTACCTATAAGATGTATAGGATGTAGGTTATTATCTCACCATACTCACCACATTTGAAAATTCAGGGAAGAACTTTTAAATTGTAATTTTTTCGGATATATATTATATCAAAAGATCCATTTCTGCAAAATACCCTCTTGTACATGTTCCGTTCCCGCGATAATTTCTTGAGAAAATCGATTTCCCTAATATTTAGTTTTTTGAAGATAACAATGGAACTATTGAGCCCATAGAGCTAGATTAAAGTTATAGAATAACTGCTTTACAACTCCATTTCCCATGACTTTTCCCATATAATATAGGATGAGTATTTTAACCATAATATCGTAAAAAAAAACGGCTAAAACTTCAATTCCCAACTTTTTGGCTAAAAAGGCCAATTTTTGAAGTGCTATACATCTTTGGACCCATATTAGAGCTACAGATACACGTTTAACTTGTAGCAAATGTTATCGACTCTAAAAGTGTATCGAACGAATTATTCTTTGGGATGCATCTTTTTGAAGTTATAAGCGAAAACTAAAAACATCCCTTTTAGAAAATCAATCACATGCAAAATTTGAAAAATTTCCCTTAATTGGTGGCCGACTCCGTTTTATAGCGCGTCGCTGTATAAAATTATTATATTTTAGACGAGGCTTTATGAAAATGTACAATATTATATTTCCTACCTGTAACTAGGAACTACCAGCCCCCCTATATGAATCGTTGAATACGCAGTGTATTACATTTTTCTAAAGCCTGTTCTGAAATACGAGCCCGTCTCCATGCATTTTCAACAAAAAAGTTGCCATATTTCAAAAACCAAGTCAAATGAAGGTTTAGCATTTGGGTTTTAGTAATGTTGGGACGCTGAATTAATTACGTACAATAAAAATAAAGAAGGACTTCCATTTTTAAAAAATAAGAAAATATACTTAGGTACAGCAGAAACGGTAAACTCCCAGTAACCTTGCAAATACCACCGTTGAATCGGACATTCCTTAAAACCCAGTAGGAAATATTGTACATTTTTCTTAAGCGCGTTCTGAAATATCAGGTAGGTAATTTCCATACATAACGATAACCCTGCCGACTCCGTCTCATAGAGCGTCGTTGCTTCTAGAATTCTCTAGATTCTAGATATTTATTGAATCCGTTCGTTTCGACACCTCTGGACTATTATATGCGCGGAAAAAGTAAAATTCAATTTACGAATACTTTCTAGTTAGGTATATTAGGCAGTGTTGTAAGATTTTCCATATTCTCCCCGACTTGAGAGATTAATAACACTTTAGGAAAATAAGAAAGCGCTGCTTTAACCCTAAGCACTGAGAAATCGTCGTCTGGAATGCCACACACACCGTCTGGGGATTTTTTTTTTTTTGATTCCAAAAACCCTTCAGAATCTCCAATGAAAATTTAACATTATTATGGTGCAATCAAAAGTTAATAAGATTCGAGTAGCTGCTGCGCTTTCAGCCAAAATTTATCATCAGCTGCGGTGTCCGAGTGGTTAAGGAGATGGACTTGAAATCCATTGGGCTTTGCCCGCGCAGGTTCGAATCCTGTCCACAGCGATTATTTTTTTTTGTTTAGTTTACACATTTACCTGGTAGTTTATGCATTGTGAAGAAACAACTCTATTTTCATTAGGATAATAATGCAGTGTATTTGATTTTATTAATTATTACTTATTAACGTATTAAGCTATAGTTATTTATGTGGACCGGGTCACGGTCAGCAATGAGTAGCTGTTTTTCAAATTCGAGCCACATCATTGGGATCTCGGAAACGGTGAGAGATACAGGGTTGGTTAAATTGGGGCGAAGTTGCGTAATTTGATGCTTAACAAAATGCCGCTTTGATATTTAGGATATTCCGAATACCTACTTCCGGAGATATACGGAAAAAACGGAGATTTTTCAAAATTATTTTTATTTTTTCTTGACTTTAAAGTATCTAATATTTAAAAAAAAAAGATGCTAGCCTCAAATCTGAAATCTGACTTTTCGTCTTTGGGCTACCAACATCAACTTAATTTTTTTTTAAATATGTTACGATAAATTTATCATTTACGTAGGTAACACGTTCCATCTCTTCTTATTTTTATTATAAAGTAGTATTTTTTCCATTTCAGAATCAGCCAAATATTGTCCACAAAGTTCAAATTCAAATAATACAAATACAGATCCTTATTTTTTTTAATTTTAGATTTTATAAGCTTTTGATGTCCCAAAATCAATGACGTATTGCACTTATTAGAAAAATTTATAGTATTGGCACTTTCCACAAGAACTAAATGTGTTAAAAATTACTAAAAAGTTTAAAAAAATTTTTTTTTCGAATAAATGCGATACGTCATAGGTTTTGGGACATCAAAAGCTCTAAAAATCTGAGATAATAAATCCAGGGTCGTATTTGAAAAAATTAAGTTGATGATGGCGGCCCAAAGACGAAACGTCAGATTTCAAATTTGAAGCTAGCATCTTTTGAGGGGAGAAATAGTGGCTATGATGAAGTGACTTTTTTTATAAATTTTAGGTACTTTAAATAAAGTCAAGAAAAAATAAAAACAATTTTGCAATATTTCGTTATTTTTCGAATATCTCCGGAAGTATTCGGAATATCCTAAATATCAAAGCGGCAATTTATTGAACTTGAAATTACCCAACTTTGCCCCAATTTAACCAACCCTGTAAAGAGATACACTGACGGTGCTCTCACCGTTTCCGAGATCCCAATGATGTGGCTCGAATTTGAAACATCCTGTACAGCGCTTCAAATTAAACCCCCCCTTGTCTGGACTGTTTGCTGTTTGAGGGCTGATTTCTCGATAGCAAGTCACCCCCAAGTTAAGCATTACTCCCGGGTAAAGTTGAAACCAACCCGGAGGTGACTCGCTATTGAGAAACCGACCCTGAGTACCTAAATTGTATGATAACTCTGTCCTGTCGTGAGAATTCAGAAATATAATTCGCCGTGTAAGTAGAAAAAAATAGCTCTGCTGTGACCTTTGCGATGTGTAAATGTTCTTGGCTCATTCTATGGAAGTTAAAATGTTTCTCGATTTGGAATACCTTGTTAGTTCTTATATCTTGATAAAATCCAATAAATCATGTTATTCTCAATTAACTGAAAATATTAATTAATTTGTGTCCTATAAAATCAATCTTCACAATCACAATTCTCCAGATTATCCCGAATGACTTTTTCTCTTTTCATTAGCAAATGGTAGGCATGTATTTGGTATAGGCATATTCTAAATACCTACTGTATGTACAGTTGCGATCAAAAAAAAGTAGTACTTACAAAAATTATTAACCTCAATTTGAGCTCCCGGTGTAACATACAAAATTTTGTCAGCAAATAAACATTTCGAAATAAGTTGAGTTCTGACAATGACATATTCTAGGTTAAAAACGGGTGGAAAATGCCAAATTAATGTCATCTGAAGCTTTCTAGGTTAAAAACTTGTCAAAAAATGCCAAAAATATGTCATTTTGGTTATGAATTAAATTAATGTATAATAGACCAGGAGATTTCGGAGATTTTTCTTGTACTACTTTTTTTGATCGCAACTGTACATGTAAAGGGTGTTCCAATAAGAGTTTCCGGATATATATATTTTTTTCATTTCAATTGAAAAGCAAACTAGGAAATATTTAATACTTAATCTACGTCGATGTCATTATGACACATTTAGCATTGTCATTTGAATGTCATTAGGTCCTTCATAATAGCACTAGTGCGTTTAAGAATTCATAAAAACACCCAAATTATGAAATGAAAAATATACAAAAAGAAAGCTAGTTACCAGAAAAACCTTTTCATTGATGCTGTCTAGATATTCGAAGGGACACTTTCGAACTCAGGATCACCAATATTAACATTATTTTCCACTATAAAACTGAATTTATGGCACAAAAATTGACTCCAATATTGAAGCTGCCAAAGTCAAAATTCTAAAAATCATCAAGCAGGTTCTCGACTAGTACGGGCACCTGCTTGAATTTTAATTTGAAAAGTTTTTGCTGTTTCAAGGCAAATCAAATCTATTTGGTTCATCGTAGATTAAATTTTGAATGATACACGTTCGATATGAACTTCATTAATGAAACTTGTGTGTTTGAGATGTCATGGAATAGAAAAAGATGACAATTACATGTAAACTTTGGTGCTTTCCTACAAGAAGCCTTGAGACTCTTGAGAGGCAGACGGCAGATTTGTAGAAATTGATAAGGCTTAGGAATAAAAAAATAATAGAAGTTTTTCAGAAGCGTTTGAAATGGCAATACATTTAGAACTGGAGGAAAAAAGCAAAAGAGATGCAGATGCAGTTCAAATAATGTACTTTTCTACAAAAGCAAAGTCATGAAAAATCTTTTTATGAACGGTGGTCATAAACAAGGAGTTCACCAAGCGGTCATTACTGACATTACTCATGATCATCATAGTCAAAAAGTCTTGCCAGACATGTTGTGAACGTGAACTCATGAAACGTACTAAGTCAGAACTAGAGGATTGCCGACACGCAGGTTGTCAACTGCTTTGAAAACCGCATTCCGCCATTTTTCGCGATTGGCTTGCTCTTGAGACACTAACATCTAGTGTGTTACGTGATATTTTTGGTCACGTCATATTTTAGTTAGTCTTGTCATGGCTGACCATGCTTGTTGAATGCCTCGGCAGATTTCACCTGAATTGTCGATCAAAAAACCGAGGTATTTACAAAACTCTGGACTATACCTGACAAGTGACAACGGTCTACTGATGTTATCTCAGGATGATTGTCATGTTCCTTATCAACGATGATGACCTTGATCTTATTTTAGTTGATACTAAGACCGAGACTACATGCTTCACTATGTTGCTCTAAAATATGTTAAGTAAAGTTAACAATTCATCCTGAGAAGAAGCAATAAATAGGAGTAGTATCGTCAGCAAACCTTGAATTAGATATCTTGATTCCACCAAGAGTCACACCAGCGTGTCACCAGCCGTCCAGTAGGTACCTGTCCTATAGCAAATTCGGAATAGAGGTTAAATAACATCGGCGATTACACATCATATCCCTGACGAACTCCTTACTCAAGCTGTGTTGGACTCATAGAGCTATATTGTATGAAAAATATTAGGTGGTGAGCCGCTACCATGCAGAGAAGAATTTCCCATAGTGTAGGCCACTTTACGTAGTTAAATGTTTTGGACTAGTCCACACCACAAAGCAAACATATGGTGGACTTTTTCAATAATTTGCCTCAAGCTCAAAATCTGTTCGCGCGTACCACGTCTCTACCAAACCTGCCTATTCTGGGGGATAATTGCCAGTCCACAAAACCCTCCAAACGAGAATGCAGAATATACAGCATATATAGCCTTGCTTGAATGAAAGATCAATGAGAGTAGACGACAATTATCTGGATTTACTGGAGATCACTTTTTATGGAGTGGAATTAAGACTGAAGTGCTCCATTCATCGTCTGACCAAACTTTCTGACAATACAATGTAGAAAATGTAGGCCGTCTCATCTTAGCACTTAAGAGTTCCGACAGAAAGGGTATCAATGCCTGTCGCTTTACCGGCTTTTAGTTTCTTAACAGCATGTAGGTACCTATAGGTACCTGTAAATAATATCGTTCAATAAAAAGTCCTCGTTCCTAGAAAAGTGTTCTTTTTGAAATATGAAAGTTTAATACAACAGAAATCACAACATAAACGTTAATACAGATAAAGATACAAAAGATAAAATAGATTAAATAGGTATGGAAACTAAAAACCTTCGATAAAAGGAGAATATTTAAATTCGCGTCTAACTTTTACCGTTGACTATCAAAAACTTGACAAACTGACAAAATCACCACAGAACATATCACCTCTAGAAAAGTATCTGCAATGTTATGTACCGGTTATGAATTACATCAGCGCCATCGTTGACTGAAAACCCAACTAATCGAGCATTCTTGACAAAAAGGCGAATTGATTTTTTTCATATATTTTTATTATTTTTAAATAATTGTTTTTATTCTAATCGGTGAATTCACCGATGAGTTAGCTATCTTCGTTCAGTGAATGGAAAATGATAATGACCGACATAGAATGATGGATCCACCGGTAAAATTTGATGAGAATAAAAACGCAGGGTCATTGTCCACACCATAGATACCTGTAAATTTTCTTATCTCCCGACAGTGTCGCCATCGTTGACTAAAAACCTAACTAAAAACCTTCGTCGCGATTCTCCCATTTGAGATATTTTGCCCTATGAATAAAAAAGAGCATTTGCTTTTTCTCGCAAAATCTGAAGCAAATGCTTCATCCAGTATGAATAAAAGTTCAAGCAAAACCTTATACTTAAAAGTCGGAAGCAAATGCTCCAGGAAAAAGCAAATACTCTTTTTCTTATGAATAAAAGAGAGTATTTGCCTCAAATTGGGAGCATTTACTCCTTGCAAAATGCATCTGCTCCAGAGCAGATGTATGTTTACTATTTTGGTAAATTATTTCCGAATATTCCTATGTCCCGTTTTTTTGTAGATTATAGATTGCATTAGCAGTCTATATAGCTTATTCCAGCTGCTCTAGTGTTCAAGATTTGTAGGCTCCTTCCAAAGGAGGCCAGCTTCCTGGGTGGTAAAGTACCCACCTCTTGGGGTGTGAGCAAGGTATTTCAGCCTTTCGCAAAAGTGATCAGGGCATTCACAGATTAAGTGTTCCGTAGTTTTTAATGCTTCCTCGCAAGATCTGCAGTAATCGTAAACTGATTTGCCTATTGTTTTTAGGTGATTTCACCAGAAACTGCCCACTGAGCAGTCGACCAACGACTTCTCTAATGTCTCTTCTGTTTATTATTGTCAAGAACCTGTTCAGATCTCAGATATATGAACCTTCTTCATCTGTTGATTTCTTTGAAGACGTGGCTTTTCATTAGTAAACAGAAAGCCACTGGGCCTTGAGAAGGTGTTAAAGCGCCTTGCTTTGTGAGACAGCCCGCCTTCTCGTTGCCCTCTTCACTTTATTCCTAAGTTAAGTGTTTAAGGATATTTTTACCCTCCCAAACTAACGGAAAATTGCACTTGATTGGGTTCTAGAATCTTTAGACCCGCTTGACTGTCGGACAGTATGTAAATGTGCTCTCTTAAAAAGACTCTTTTAAGACAATCTTGGGCACAGATGCTTATGGCCAGAACCTCAGTTTGAAATTTTGTGGACGTTTTGCCCATTACTAATGAGAGTTTAAACTTTAAAGTTTGGTCCAGTTATTCCAAGACCGACTCCTTCCGTTACCTTCGACCCATCTGTGTGACTGTGTACCACCAATCAACGGTTCCATAATGGTGCTTTGTCCGCTTGCGGTGGCTTTGCGTTCTTCCATGATTGGCGTTTTTTTACTACCACTTCCTATAGATCCAATGATATTATCGTTCTGGTAGTTTAATTTGGCATTCAAGTCTTAGATTCAAGCAACAGGTACAACAGGTAATATCTTTCACTTCATTTCTTTGAAGCATATGCTCGCAAGTAAAAGGTCTTCATTATTCATATGATATGAAGTAAATGCTTCCACTTCTACCTTTTACTTGCAGCTTTTGCTTATACTTCTACCTTTTGCTTAGAAGCAAATGCTCTATTTTTATTCATACGGCTGATTTTTCTATAGGTGCTGACAAACTTGCTTGACATCATAGAGCTTGACGTCATAATTTTTACGGGTAAATTTTCTTTTTTTGATTTATTCATTTACACCGCGATTTACGCATTATTTTTAACAGTACCACTTCCGAAAATAGCTATCACTTCCAAAAAAAGAATGTCCGGTGATGAGATGTCCATCGACCATCGGCATTCTCAACTGACCAAGTTTTGGGTTTCAAGTTTCGATTGAGACATTTTATCTTAAGGATCATATCTCCTGAACGGCCTGTATTAGCGCGGGTCTGTATCTCTTTGCATAGTTCCTGAAGAGAGTAGTTCTTAGTTCTTATCTTGACAGCTTAGTGCTGCGTTTTGGTTAATTTGTTTGGGCAGCTTGTGTAAGAACATTTTTAAATGTTAACCACATATTATTAGAAAGAGATTTATTCGTTATCCAGACACTTTGAAATAGCTGAGAACAACCAAGTGGTAGCCGGGATAAAAAAGGGAATGTTGCCACTTTGATATTGTAACTTGTATTAGAAAAAAACCTGTTTTTTTCCCAAATGAGTGGTGAATATACCAAATGGAGGTAAAATTATTATTAATATTGTTTTAGAAGATAATCCTAACCAATATTTTGTAAAGCAAGATCAGATCCAGGATACCTACTACCTACCATATTCACTTGCATCAAACTGTAATCGTGAATGAAAATGAGAAATTTAAAAGTTTTAGCAAAAGAAGGCAAGTCATTGATATCCAAGTATCTAATTGAGAAGGGAATAGCGGAGAACACAAAAAGATGAGAATTTGTAGGATAACAAAAAACCTAAAAATTAATTAATCATGGATTAATAATTATTAGACACCCTTGTTTTACGAATTTTCATTCAGCAACCGTTCCAAATTTGCTTTCTGTCTGTTTTAAAATATACTTAAATTAATCATATACTTACCATATTTTGTCAAGAAAGGAAGTTGGGAAAGGATAAAGGTAAATAAAATAAAAAAGGTTCGAAATAAGTAATACAAAAAAATATATGTAATTTCTACTGGTGCTTGGGAAAACAAGTAATTCGCAAATATTTTTGTTATATTGTTTTAAAACTTGCACTTTTATTTTATTACAATGAAAAAAAAGTTCATCTTACATAAACACATAATATTAATTGTTTTAAAATCAATAATAATCATTTCCAACTACAAGTCAAAGGCTAAAAATATAAAAATATCAATTAATTAATTACCGCTAAAAAATCGTATGTATATAACAAAAATATTTAACAAAAACTAGCAAAACTAATTGCATTACATATACCAACAGAAATAATAAAATATATAAACAAAAATAAGGTTAGCAACATCTACACTAAAAAAAAATTTTCACCAGTAGTAATAATTCTAATAAATAAAAAAAAATGTACAACTTTTCAATCAAAGGGTACATCCTAAATGAATAAAAATTATTTTAAACATTTAAATAAGCATTTAAAAAAAATGATTAGGTATGTATATAACAAATAAAAAGATAGTAGCGTAAACCATTAACCCATCTGCCAACCCTGATTTCTTTTTACAAAAATTTTCGACTGTAACAATTTCGTAATGCACGTCTGACGTGATTTATTACAAAATCTACAGCCACAGTGCCAATAACCGACGTACGTCAGAATTTCGTTTAAATTAGTTTAAAGCTTCATTTGATTTTATTTTTGTTGATGGTATTTGGATGCGTTCATCATTCATCAGTAGTTAACATGCTTATTTTTAAAATTTGATGATCAGTAGTTGCTTAATTTTTCTGGTGAAATTGTGAAGGTTTGAATAATTAATTGAAATTGCTCATCATTTGGGTAAAAGGTTGTTTTTAGATTTATTTCTCCAATAGAAATAAGTTTACTTGCATGGATACGTGTGCTAATGAACGATGAACACAAACATTTTTGTGTGATGTAAATTTCTAATAAAATGACAAGACTACTATAAAGCAGCTTTGCTCCAAATCTACCTTATTTCCATGTATGAAAAATCACTGGGGTTAAAATATTTATTGACCAAATACGAGGGTAAAGTTAAATTTCATTATAAAGTCTTTTGGGACATAGATTAGTATAAAAAGGCACAAGATTCGTCCTCGTACAAGTAAAAAAAAATCAAATTCTGACGTCGGCTCTGTCACTGCACAATAAATGTTAAAGCCAAAATTTTTAAACCTAAAAACTTAAACATTAGAACTATTTTCCTGGCATTTCGAATAAATAAAGAAATTGCATAAACACTGAACAGTTAGATTCGCAATTGTACGCTGGTGAAAAAATGAAGTGGAACAATGAAAATTTCACTTCATTTTTTGACGCTGCCATTTATTGCACACACCAAAATAAATTTTGACTGAATTTGTATTCTTAAAATAGGTAATTGAAAAGCTTGCTTATACTATATAAATATGGTTAAAAAATGAAGATGTTGCTAATCAAAAATTAAGGGATAAATTCAACATTTGCTTCAGATCCCCAATTTTTGATGAGCTACTTTTGAAGCTCTACATAAGTTGGAGATAATGTTCGTTCTGTATCTAAACAGTTATTAATAATTGAATTAAAGTTTTTAGCCATATTGCCATTGGTATTTGAATTTTGATTATTGCACTGAAAAATAGTGACTGAATATTTACAATTTTCCAGTATTTCCCTCTAACATTGATTCTAAAATATATTCAAATTCATAATATTCCATACGATTTCAAGGTGAGTTTTGGACAGTCGTAAAGTCAATACAGCGCGGACTCCAACTTTTGCAGAGCCATCCAGTTTCTTTAAAAAATCCTAAACCAGAAAATATGAAAAATCGAATGCTGCCTTTGAGTATTCAAAAATGTCTAGCCCTAAATACGTATAGTTAAAAAACTAACCCAAAAGAAAAACGACAGTAAAAATTTTCTAAATTACTCTCTAAAAGTTAATTTTGGGTACAAGTGGGTGCCGAATAACCTAAAAAAAATGGGTATTTTATATAAATATAACAGGCTGCAGTCTTTTATTACTTATTCTTCCTTTTGATCACTTTCAAGTGAAAAAAATGTGCCAAAAAGTCCGAAGCTTTCTACTCGACAAATGTAGCTTTTAATCTATAAAATTATTTTATTATTTAGATTGCTGACGACTTAAAAATAGGGGCAGTTAGTAAATCATTATTAATTTAAGTATCTAAATTTGAATAAAATATGCATCTATCAAAAAAATCTACCCCTAAACCTAATAACATAAACAATGTTGTGTTTATGTAATCTCCATAATTGTAATAATTATTTTATATTTTTATTAAATTTATTTAAATTTGTTTTTATAAGTGAACAACAATGATTTATATTTTAATATTTCAAAAAGATATCATTTAGTCTGGATTTTTCCTAAAGGTGAGAGGAAGAAAGATATAAACATTTAAAATAAGGTCCTTATACAGATATTGATTATCTAAACATGCAGCAAAAGAGAAACTCTATAGAGAAAAATCCAATTTGGAAAGATTTGAATCAAAAAAACGTAAACTCAAGTGAAAATTATTAAACCATTTAAATTTTTAACACAAATTTAAAAAAAAAAAAATCCAGATTAAAAGTTCTTTTTCAAATATTCCATCAGTTCAGGTCAGTTCTTCGAATAAAAAGCTGAAAGTCAAAATCAGGTAAAGTCTGTTAATTATTCTTATTAATTATATTATTATTGTTAATTAATAATAATGTCATAAATATCTATAATCTATATCATCATTATTTAAATTCTTCTTTTATACATAATAATTATACTCTTTTAGTTTTCTTTTTAATATAATTTTTTTATATAAAATCGAGTGTCAACTAAACAACAAAACAAAAATAAAAAAGTCGAAAAAAATAAAAATAAAATCGGAGCACCGTGTGTCAAAAATAGTAAAAACCCATACATACAAGCATACAGTCTTCTATAATTGTATTGTAGTTTTATTTCTTTTTTCAGCTACTACACTATAAACTAAGAGAAGTGATTTTGCCATTTTAAATTATTTAAATATGATAAATTCATCAGTAAGTATATGTATAATATAAACGCACTTTCTAAAACGCTAAAGAGTTTTTTTTTTTTAAACTAGATTTAAAATCTTTACTATTTATGAACATGGTGGCTCTGTTAAGAGCGTAAAAATTCTTTTGTAGTTTAAGACAAATGAATTTTGTCAGTAGTGATTTTATTTGAGGAATTCTCATTCCGCCAACAACTCCTGACAAATTCCATATTTTCCCCTTTTGAAAAAAAACCGCAAAGAGACATTACCTTTTTTAATGTCAGCACCATTTAAATATAAACTCACTGTATAGAATAACAATTGGAGGCCTGATCGAACAGCTCCCCTACAAATAACAAACAACAAACAAGAAGTTGTACTTTAAAAATCAGGGCCTAGCTTCTTTATCACAGTCCGATGCGGTTTTTTTTTTTTTTTTTTTTTTGATGCGGTTTTTGAAACATTTGGGAAAATTTGCTGCCTACCTACTACCAATTCACAACAATTAATAATTTTCCTTTCTCCATATTTCACAATAATTAATTATTAACGAAATTTATGTATGTATATTTTTGTTTAAAATTTATGCATTTTAAGGCCGATACAATCAGTATGAAGGAAACTGAAAAATCAATGAAAATAATAATTATTTTTGAAAATTATTAAGTGAAAATTACTTACTTAGTAGCTACACAGGGCTGCCGCACGAGCTCGATAAAAGACTATTAAATTTTCAACTGTCCACGCTGAACAACTCTTTGTGCAGTGCCGGAAAGTCCAAATGAGGCGCCGATCTTTTCAATTTACCCAGCGCGTCCATATGCAGCAAACTAATTTCCCTGAAACATACAACATTTTTCATATTTTCAAGTAAATAAACAAACAATTCTTACCTCAAATTAGGTATTTTAGTAAGCAAGGCATCACAAACAGTCACGTCGCCCTTAATGGGAATGGTGTGATTTCGGTCGAGTTCCAGTTTCAATGCTCTGAGTACGGCTTGATTCAGTCGGCCAATCTCGGCTATGCCTTTCAGTCCTGGCCGATCTAAAACAGAATCGGCTGTAAGAGAAAAGAACAGTTTGTTAGAAGACTTTTCAGGCTCTTCTAACCCTAAAAATATATATAGGACCATTCAAGTAGGTTTATTGAGAAATGTGATAAGTAAAAAAAAAAAAAAATGTCCAGCACATCTATTGCATTTCAGGCTTTTCTTCTTATTGCGGAAATAACCCACAACAGGTTTAATTTTTATTATTTCTAATTTAATATATCTCAATTTCTATTATTTACCATAAAAATAATATTCTAAAAATAGATGCTATTGCTGGACTATTTATCCTGTAAAACCGGCAACAACACCCCTTTGAATCGGTAAAATTGCAGGTTTCTTCATTATCTTATAAGGTAGTGAACCTGTCCTGCCGCTGTGATTAATTGGTCAGCCGCCACACAAAATCCCGAGTTTTTGCGACCTGCTCCCCTGGCAGAGTCTAGTCGACGCACATTTCTCAGTACTATTGGAATAAGCGAAGAGTTCGCACCCTCGCGCCCTCTGAGTGCTCTCCAGAGGCAAAACACCCAAAACCCCCGTTAGTACGCGCGATTTATAGTAAAATACTACTCTCTGTTTCTCAAGGCCTGACATGGTCTATATTATTGGTTACAATTTATGTAATTAGCCCCTAATTGTTGCAAGTCACCTTGGACGAGCAAAATTCTCTCGTACGCGCTTGTCTTTCGGCTCTCTCTCACTCTCGACGGGCACCAACGCGCCTGTATATCGTTGTGTTTTCATCTCAGTGGAAAATTCCCTAGCTGCCAGTGTGAATAGTGATAAATGGATAAATAATCGCCTTGTGGATTTATCTGTATGAACCGGATTAAGCAAGTTAGACCGTTACAATTTCTGAACATCTAACCATAAATGATATTATTATCATTATCAGATTTCCCTACCTTTTATAAATCAAGATACTTATTTATTTTAGATTAGTATAAAATTTGTAGTTCGACTGGACGTCCGATTAGGAATTTTTAGATAGGATTTGATTGCTGACTATACAGAATTACTTTCATTTATTAATCAAATTGATAATTATTCTATTTCAGCGTTTTATTTGTATAAATGAGAATCAAAGCACCCCTAACCAAGGCTTAAATGATCCAATACCTAGTGGTTAATTTTTACAGTCAGTCAAAGTAAAAACTTTTGGCATCCCTGGTGCGGTTTGACTAAAGCCCAAAAAGGGGCAATAGCTAGTTCCGTCACAATTCTCGTCTTCAATTATTCTCTCTTTACAAATTTATTTCTTGATTCGATTTTGGATTCCGTTAATCTACTATGCTTTTTTGGCTACCTTCTGGGGCCGGATTCTCGTCCCAGGGAGTAGAGCTCCCCGAGAGAACAAATGTTTCGTCCTTATCATTTTCGTTTACTTTTCAATTACGTTGACAAGGACAAAATATTCGTTCTATCGGGGGCTCTACTCCCTGAGACGAGAATTCGGTCCCTTGAGCGGCATCTTCCAGAGATGTTTTATTTTTCTCTCTTATACATTATCTTCCAATTCTTCTCTGGTCTCTTTTCTTGTATTAGGAAGTTGATTTATTTAGGCTCCTATCAATTTTGTTATATGGTCGATTTTTAAAATGAATTTGTAAATTGTAGCAGGTGAGCTCAAAAATTGGAAAAAAGCCAGTCCCAATCTTTCATCCACCTCCAAACATTTTGCTCTTTACCACTCCAATTCCGTTTTATACGAAGCATGGCAAGAGGAGTAACTCAAACTTTCGATGAAGACCCAGCAACAACCACGATGGACCACCAAGAGGCCCAAATATTCCTTGAAGGGGGTGTGACCCAAAAAGACAGCTTAAGCTACTTGAATCAAGAAAAAAAATCTAAGATCTTTCGTGAAAACCTCAGTCTTATATTCCAAATAGTATCCGAGAAAATCCCTTATGAAGATAAATTTTGGGGGAACTTGTGACGGCACATCGGCTAACCGCCGAAATCGGAAAGAATCTGGGGAGCAGACAAACAGAGCTACGAAGGATGCCGAACGATATTCCGTGTGTGTCCAAATTCACCAAAATGTTGCACAGATCGTCAGTGAACCGTGCCCTAATACATTAAGTGATTGCAATTTGTATATATAATGCTTTATTGTCAAAAAAATTATAACATAATTTGTAGACAAAGCCTTAAAGTTAAAAATATATATTATATACATCTACATGTATACAAAGTCAAAATAAAATGATATAAACATAAACAAATAACATGAACAAATGTAAAAATGAACAAATTACCTATAAACTATGATCCAGTGTGTGGAACGCTCAAAATTAAGTCAGAAAAAAGTCATTTACTTTTTTCTTTACTCTCTCTGATAAATAGGATTTTAGAGCTATGCGAAATTTAGGAAGAGATGCTATGGACTTGATGACTACTGGCAGATGATTGTGCATTTTTTTTGCGTTGTATAGAATGGAGCTCTTAATTAACTCGGAGGATGGAGTTGGCATATAAAGATCATGCTCCGCGTTTCTAAGTGGATAGTTATGCAATGGCCTTTCTGAAATACTGGGTAGGTGTTTGCGGATAAGGCAGACTGATTCTAGTATGAAAAGGGAAGGAAGTGTTAATCTTTTATATTTTTTGAAAAAATCTTGGCAATGAGCTCTATTTTTTAATTTTAGGGAATATCTAATAGCTCTCTTTTGTAATTTAAAAATACGGTCAAATTGAGTCGCACAGCACGAACCCCAGAATGGAAGGGCGTATCGAAGATGTGATTCGAAAAGGGCAAAGTAGACTGTTCTAGAAGTTGACAAGTTGAGTTCCTTGGAAACTGATCTTATCGCAAAGCAAGCGGAACTTAATTTTTTTGATAAAGAATCGATGTGCGAATTCCATTTTAGGGATTTGTCTATAATAAGGCCCAAAAACTTTACGGAATCAACGACGTCAATAGTAGTAGTGTTATTAAGTACAATAGGTTGCATCGTACTTCTATATGATAAACTTTTGTTTTCGCAGCGTTGAAGCAGAGAAAGTTAGAGTCGCACCATGTTTTAATGGCGAACAAGTCGATGGACATGGTTCTATGAAGAGCTACAATATCCGGGTTGCTCCAAGTGAAACTAGTATCATCAGCAAAAAGACAGATTTTACCGCTGATGTCTAGACTAGCAATATCGTTGATAAACAGCAAAAATAATATTGGACCCAACACGGAACCCTGTGGAACTCCACATTCTATTGGCTTGCATGAAGACATCGTCGTATCAACCCTCACAAGCTGTTTTCTGTTGTTAAGATACGACTTGAACCATTCCAGAGGAGAGCCTCGAATTCCATAATGCTGCAATTTGTTAATTAGGATATTATGACTTACACAGTCGAATGCTTTAGAAAAATCACAGAAAATTGATGCTGTGGAGTGCAAATTGTTCAAGCTAGAGAAGACATTATTGAAGACAGAGAACATAGCATCAATAGTGCATTTGTTGGTTAAAAATCCAAATTGGTGGATAGTTAGTATATTATATTTATGCAGAAATGATAGAAGCCTTTTCTTAACCAATCTTTCAATGATTTGGATAAAGTAGGGTGCTTTAAGTGACATCGTTGACTTTTGTTTCGAAAAATTTTACACCAGTTTTAACTGTGCCTACGAAACCGGTGTGACGTCACAGCCTAGGCGTTCGTCACTTTAAACCGCCCTAACTCGAAAACGATTCATCGTAACAAGATGCGGTTTAAATATTAGTTCTTAGATTTTTCTGCACTAAAACATTAATTTTTGGGTCACATACCCCCTTTAAGTTAACAGACCACATATTCTTTCGAGGATACGAGGATAAGGATCACTATGCCTCAAAGAGAAGGGATAGCAAAGCAGCGCTAAGACTACTAAAATCACCTAAAGTAAAATCAAAAATAGTAATAAGCTGCTCGGAAGTGCTGTACTGGATCAGGAACAGTAATGTCGGATATGCTGGGTTCCTGGATATGGTAATATCGAAGGGAACAAAAAGGCAGATAGACTGGCAAAACTGGGAATCAAAAAGGATCAAACTGAAACAGATTGTAGCAATTAAGCTACTTTGTCATTTTATCATTATTTTAAGCATGTAAATTATATTTTAGATGTTCTTAATTTTAATCACCGGTCTTGCTGTATATATTAATTATTGTAATGCATTTGAAGCAAGTATAGTTAATTTCCATTTAAGTTTAGGTTTAGATTGCAATTAGGAGTCAATCTGATTTTTATATAAGTACTAGTAGGTACTTCCATTTAGGTGGCACCATACCATCTCTATTCAATGATTTTCGCCCAGCTCTATATCCTTTCGAATAATACCAATCGTTCCGGTTGCTAAAGCCATCTTTTCGGCTGGCTCCATCGTGCAAGTGCGCCGAAGTCGATAGTGACAATTATTTGAATTGCGCTCGACCTTGCTTGATAACGGCCACTCTTCCTTGGCGGCTTGGTTAAGCGAGTCGACGTCAGTGACGTCAGCGAGCCCTTTTGATTTTCGGCAAACGTGCAGGGTTTTCTTGAAAGGGTGAATCCTTCAAATTTCTCTCTGTGGTTCGAAGTGCCATTTATGGCTAATTAAATAAATAGTTTATTCGTCCACTCGACTACTTTTTTGTGATTTCATTGGAACATGCCAGGTATGTGACAAATCCTTTTATATCTTCAATATCCCTTAAGTTTATAATTATTTCTCCAGCCTATCTTTATCTGCAACCACCTCTGGTGATGCCAGTGCCTGTATTGTACTGTACCAAATCATGGTATACGAGGAGCCCCTTGTTCAGGGTGATTCATGTACTTTTGTGTCTTATTATAAACTTAAAGACAAGCTTTTTGTCTATTTCACCTTTCTTTAAATAAAAAGAGACCATCAGTAATTTGATTTCCTGATAGGGTCCTACTCCTACATCCAGGCCTAGTATTGGTCCAATTCAATAGACGGCATGGTTCCCTAAACTTCCTTGTAAGGTCATTTTCATGGTCCCTGATGGATAGTGCCTATCGTCC